GGTATGTGTATGTAATGTTCTCTTTCGTTGCTATGGTCTGTAAGGGGGCCTATCTGTAAGGGGAGGGGGGGACCGCAAAACCTCGAACTTAAAACTTACACTCACTATTTTCTTCGAAAATATATGTGAGTTCCACAAAATGTTTTCATTTAAAGATTCATGCAAATGATTGGTACACACAGGTAATATATTATATTAGAATAACTTTAAAAACAGATGAAGTAACTAATGAAAACGATTAATAATAATTATGTAGAAGTAAATTGTTTACTAAACTTGGAGATTTCTCATTTTTACGATTTTATTGTGAAATAATTTAAATAATATTTTATAAAATAAAATATATTTGAATTATTTTAGATATTTAACATAAAATGAATGAACCAAATCTTAAAATACCATTATCATCTGATGAATTATGGTTAAAAATTATTAATGAAGGTAAATAAAATCGTGTCGAAGTTAATCAACGTATGTTAATTGATAAAATGTTGGCACGTTATTCATCTGAATTTGTTGTTTATCGAGAATTAATACAAAATTCTGATGATGCTCAATCAACATCTTTTACACTTGAAATAACTTGTGATCTATCTACAGCTACAATAAATTATGAAACAATAAATAAAGATGATTTATCAGTAAATCAAAGAAGAAAAAATTATATTTTAGAAGGTATTGGACAATTATTTAAAAATCATTGGAAACCAAATACAATGAATTCTACTAATGATGATTCATTAAATAATCAACAATCATATGAAAATGATTTTAATAATTGTATAATAACAGAAATTCGTACAATAAATAATGGTAATATATTTAATGAAGATGATTGGAAACGTGTTATAACGATAGCTGAAGGAGATACAAATGTTGACGCTATAGGACAATTTGGTGTTGGATTTTTTTCAGTTTTTTCTTATTCTGAACGACCTATAATACAATCTGGCAAACATTGTTTAGCATTTTCTTGGCAAAATGGAAAATCTTTAACAACATTTCGTAAAGAATTATCTCATGAACAACAATCATCTTTAACATCAATTATACTTAAAATGAAAAATAAATATATTTTAGAAACAAAATCAATATTAGATATTAATGAAATAAATAGTGATATACATAGATCAATGAAATCAAAGAAAAATACTCTTACAAATGAAATAGTACCTATAATGGATTTAACACAACTTAAAGCATATTTTACAAAAGTTCTTTTATTTACAAAAATATATTAATGAATTAATTATTAAAATAATGGTACAATAGTTTTTCAAGTAAATAAAATAAAAGTACCATTAACATCAACAAAATTATCTTTAGTAGCAAAAAGACTTAATTCAAATAATATACATAATCAAATATTAAAAGATTTAATACCATTAAAATTTCATAATCTAGAAATTCTTCCAGCTGGTCAAATATTTATTGGTTTAGCAACACATCAAACAACAGGTATTGGCATACATTTATTTAGTCATTTAATACCAACAATTGAACGTGAAAATATTGATTTACAAGATCTATATATATCAATTGGAAAAATTATTAGATATATTTATGATCAACGTATTCTCGATGCTGTTAATAATATTCAACAGGATTCAATTCAACATCTCAATTTAATTCTTTCACCATATGCATTTGAACCATCAGTACCAAATAAAGAAATTGGTTAGTATATATAATATTAAATTTGTTTTTTTTTCCACATTCTTCTATTTTCTTTTAATTTAAGGTCGTATTCTTCTTGATGGATTTTTTTCATCGAGTGAAGATATTCTTGTACCAGTTAAACGATTTCCACATGATAATCATCTTTCATTGATACCATCGATAGAAGCTTATCTTATAAATTCTAAGCATATTCAAGCATTTCTTCCTATACCTCTTGTACCATATGATATAGGAAAAAATAATTTTTTTAAAGCTTTAAAAGAACGTCGGTGGATTGAAGAAATTGATAATGAAACAATTATAGGTAAAATTCATCAATCTATTTTTCTATTTGATGAATTTATTGAATTACTTCATTGGTTATGTAAACATGATATTAATAATAATAAACCTGATGTAAAACATATTCTTTCAAAAATACAATATCATGAAACACATCAATCACCTGTTATTACATTAGAAAATATTACATATTATGATTTTCTTAATATATCATCTCTTCCATTACCACCAAGTGTATTATCATCGAATATTGTTGGTCATATATCTCGTGAAGATTNAATTTTATCATCGTTGTTATAAAAGTTTTTTCTAAAGATGCGATGGACATTGCGTAACCATACATTAGCGGCTCATAATATCGTAGTATTGTTTCTTGGCAAAAGAGTATAATACTTAAAGCCTACGTGGATTTTGATAGTTTGGTTTGTTTATAGCGTTTAGCTTAAAGATGCGTCTGCTTACAATTATTTTACAAGGAAACCGTTTTTGAGTATTTACAATTCGAGAGGCCTGTGAGTCGGTATTCAGGACTAGAATTGATAGATCGATCCTATCGATATCAGTATCGAACGAAAATACTTCTAATCTATTCAGCTGAGGTGAAGTAAGTGGAAGAGGTGAGAGTTACGCTTTTAATTTTTTTTAGAGCAAGCGTCATTTAATCAAATGGTAATGGTAAGTTCTACTTTAAAACTTAAAACCTGAAGAAATATTTTGTTTCTCTTTAGATCGATTGCCTGATGAACAAATATTAATGTTGAGTTTGACTTAAAAAAATACAATCTGATGAAATATATTATTTCTATTTAGATCAAGCGGCAGTTGAAGTTGAACAAATAATAAGGGTGAGTTCGATTTTGAAACTCAGCACCTGGCAAAACATTTTTTTTCTATTTAGATCAACTGTCAGATAAACAAATATTAATGGTGAGCTCGATTTTGAAAGTTAAAAGCTGATGCATTATTTTATTTCTATTTAGATACATCCTCAGCTCAACAAATACTAATGGTAAGTTCCATTTTTATAAGTTGCAACCTGATGAAATATTTTATTTATATTTAGATCAAGTGTCAGATCAACAAATACTAATGGTGAGTTCGATTTTGAAAGTTAAAAGCTGATGAATTATTTTATTTCTTTTTAGATGAAACATCCCTTACCGATCGCTCCACCCACCGGAATCTGGAGGAACTGGCAGAAAATAAGCCTGAAAGTCGCCGTATTCTGTAGGAGAACACATGGTATCGGTGCAACATGGAAACAGTATCCCGGTCGCAAATTTTCCTGATTTTTCTAGCGAGGTCCGACCAACTTGCAATGCCTTTCAGCATAATGCGACGGAAATCATTCAAAAAAAATTGGAAGTTTGCGGTCGGAATACTGCTTCTATGTTCCAGCGATACCCTGTGTTTCCCTACAGGATACAGTGATTCTAAGACATCTTTCCTGGTGGTTTCTATAGAACCCGGCTCTTTTTTGGAGAGTGGGTATGTTTTCCATTGGATATTGGTGAAAAACTACTTTCATAATGGAGCATAGCACCCGGCGAATCTTTCATTCAATATTGCGTGGTGAATTAAACGGAACCCAAAGTACGAAACCCTTGTTATTAGCTATTAAAAATTAAGGCTTTTTACGAAACCCAATTTCTACGAAACCTCAAAGGATTTCGATTTCGTTACAAAAATCGGATACCTTTGTGGTTTCGTATGGTACCTATTTGTTTTTCAGTGTAGGGTGTGGCTGTGAGTGTGCGTGTGGGTGGGTGTGGGAGGAAAGAACAATCATACCCATACCGAACATCCACACCTTCAAAATGTCACTTTACAAAGTAAATATAATTTTGTTATTTTTTCTCTGAAATAAAACTAATACAAGAGAATTTTTTTTGGTCATTTTATTACTGCAAGAGTTTTCACTCTTTTTAAGTAGTTGGTACGCCGCCAGCTCTATCACAGAGAGAATTAGAATTGTGTTTACATTAACCTGCAGAAAAGCACACAAATCTCTTTCAAACAATGTTGCGATTGAGCTAGAAAATAAAGAATGAATTAAATTTAAATCAATTAGAGACTTTGACAGTGTGTTGCCCATGTTATGAAAAAAAATGATTTATTTTTGTAATGTGTCTCTTACAAATTAGCGACCGTATGAGCTAGAAAGTTAAAAGTTGGACTGATATCTTTGGATAGACCTTTATTGAAGAAAAGTAAAAAACAATACCAAACTAACTAATATAAAATTTAGATTCAAAAATAAAATCGAGCCAAAAAATATTTTACACTAACTATCATTCAATGTGTACCACATGTAGTAAAAATTTTAATTCTAAACTAGGGTTGTCATCTCGTCAAGTCGGAAAAGCGGAAAGTTCAGTCATAAAACGCGGTAAAAAGCGGAAACAAAAAGTTAAAAAACGGAAAAATTGCGGAAAACTGTTTTCTGCGGGACTTTCACGTTTCTATGGATTTCAATAACTTTTTGTGTTTCTTCATGATTCTCCTTTATTCTCAAAGCTCCAAAACACAATAAATGATATATAAAAAGATGAATATTTTATTAAGCACATCATTTTTTCATTGCAGTTGCATTTACTGTTTCAATAGAGTTCGTTTAGAAACTATTTTTGAAGACAGTAAATGCCTTTGCAAGTTTGTGTGACATTGAAGTATTTCAACGAATCTGTATTTCTACAGCGAGTGAATCGACTGATATTCGATTGCAAAAAATATTGGACATATGCACCGTTTCTGAAAAAACAACTTCGGTAGTAGCGTTGCTTTTCAGAATAGAACACAGAATGAATCATATAGACAACAATAGACTGTAAACGGCAGCTAACTAGAGATCTGTATCGGAGTCAGTTTAGGCGTCAACTAGATTTCTTGATAATAATTAATTTTTAACACCAGAGTTTTTCTGCGTTGTCAATTTTATTCTTTGATAGGTTTCGTACAAACCGATGTGCTTTGAAAACTCAATCACCGTCACATCGAGGCCTGCGGACACGAAGAGAAAGTTGGAATCGAAAACATCGAAGTCAGAGTTGATTCAGACTTCCTCTACATGTCCAGAGGCCTCAGTGTGACGTTGATTGGGCCTTTAAAGTACATCAGTTTGTAGAAAAATCATAAAAGAACAAAATCTATAATGTACAAAAATTCTGATTTTAAAAAGGAATTATTGTCAAGAAATTTAGTTCACTTCGAAACGGCTCTGAATTTGATTCTGATGCAGATCTCTACAGCTAACACATTCTACATCACAGTAACAGATGTTATTGTCGCAAAATTTTTAATAAAAAAATAAACTAAAGTTTCTCATATGAAAAAGCGAAAAATTCCGGAACAGCGGGAAAATAGCGAAAAAAGGTGAAAAAGCGAAAGAGGTGACAACTCTGTTCTAAACTATCCTTTTTGAGCAGCTACGATCAGGTTCAGCTAATTGCTTGAGTCTCATACGATATTCATGGATGCTCTTCAGCAGCAAGTTTCATAAGTCTTTTAATAACTAATTGTTCTAGTGTCAACAATGACGCTGATTTATTTGCATCTCTTGCTAATAATTGAGACGATAGTAATTTCATTTGATTTTAGCAACGAATTTCGTATTTGTACTCAATATCGATCGAACTCTTTTTGAAATTTGTTAAATCCATATCGGTTTGGTACACGTATCGTGTTTGCACTTTTGAATTTTTCTTGTTGTCTTGGGAAGATGATATCGCGAGCAAGTTAACAGTTTCTCGATATGCAATACCTGGGTCTTCTTCTATCTCAAACTCATACATCTCATTAGAGTGTCGGCGGGATTGTGGGTGTGGAAGCAAGGAAAGCGAAATGTCATGTCAAAACTCATGTTCTACATCAACGTCAACAAGTAGTCGAACATAACAATCGGATGTAAGTAGACATGACGATAAAAAGTTGACAGACATTTGTACACATTGAGTCTCATCTCATATTGGGTTTTAATTATTCCCTATTTGTATGTTGAGCATCGAATCTGGAACTAATCTCACGTGTTAAAATCATTATTTCTCAATTATGCTTAAAAACACCAAAGAACGAGCGCACAACACTTCAAAGTCAATAGTGACAGTGAAAAATTATTTTTACATCAAATGCATAAAACATACAACGGCGATGTCTGCATGAGTTTCTATGCAGTCAAGAAAAAAAGACGTAAAGTTGTAGGATGACGTTGATGCTGACAATGCAAAGTTGTCTGCTGTTGTGCAGAAACGATACAAGGCATAGAAATCGTAATTTTGCAATGAAGCACAAGTATAAAAAGACAAGACTATAACTTCTACTGTACAGAATAATAATAAAAAAATTTCTTGAGAATAGACCAGTGTTTTAACTATTGATTTGTATTCGACATCATGACTGACATTTATTCTATAAAATCTGGTACTGTGTTTGCATGGTTTATGCTGGTATTGGTTGTCCGCCGTATCGTTTTGGTCGTTATGCTAATAGTGTCACGGCAAACGCAATCTCCTAAACCTAGTGCACGACCTGTCCAAGAGACACGCACGGTAGACAACGACAAAAATTCAAGTAGATCAGCTTCACCAGATGCATTAGATAGAGCCGCACGCATCAATGGTGCTATCAGTAATGACGCAGAAAATGATACATATTTTCTTATTCTTTATTTGGGAACGGCTATATTCTCGTACTCAGTGGATGCTGATATAGTAAGAATGATTGTCTATGGTGCGATCTACTTAACTACCCGTATGATACATTCTTTGATGTACGTCTTAGGGCTGCAGCCGTTCAGAACCTTGGCATATGTGATTGGTGTATTATGCACATTTGCAATTAGTTTAGATCTTGTAATTACAATGTCACGCAGCACAAACTGAATTAGTCAGATCAATACGAACTTTTCAGTTTATCTATTAACTGACGATTGTATTTTTTTTGACAGTATTTAATTTCATCTCAAGAGACACAATTTACTAACTTATTAGTTAGAATCCGACCTTAACAAAATTAATAAATAAAATTTTTATTGAAATAATAAATATATAACTTGATGTGTACTTGTGCGATCTGTGCATAAGATAAATAAAAGAACAATAATAATAATAAACTACACGGACTTACTGGCTATCATAGAAATGATCCACTATGATAGTGAGATCCTTCATAGAGTACAACAGAATATATGTAGAAGAATTTAGCTGTTATACTCATGAATAGTGTGCAGAAATTATTGAATAGTCTATATTGCTATTGAGCGTTTTTTTATGTTACATGGAAGGCGAGATTGAGATGGAGGAGACAATACTGCACTTTTTCGTTACCTTTTATCATTTAATAGTAAATTGCGAGCATTGTTTTCTGATAATCAAAATGTTCAGAAAACCAATTGCATATAAAGAACACAACAACTACTTGTATCGCTTTTTAATTTACAAAAAGAAAGTCAACAAAATGTAAATTGCATGTCTGTACTTTAGCCTTGACTTGTTTTTTAAGCAAAACAGGTTGTAAACATGTTTGTTAACCATTCATAACATAGAAACATGCAAGTACAAACATGAAGCTGGAAGAAAGTGAGTCAATCGACACACATAAGCATAAATATTACGTACCCAAACAAATTTCATCGTCCAATGAATATTTCTTCATACATATATTCAATACATAATTCTAATCATCCAGAAAACACCAATGAGTGTTAAGTATAAACAAAGAATAGTAAAAAATTCAATTTTATTTCATACGGCAACTGATCACTACTGTTCAAATATAATGTATTTGGAGACACGAAGTCTTTAGATGAAAAACATCATTTTGTGTAGCAATACATTTCGGGGTGTGGATGTGAGTGTGGGTTGCGTAGATGTGGGTGTAGCTGTGTGGGGTGTGAGCGTGGGATGGATGTGGATTTCGTTGAAATTACGTCTCAAACTCACACTCACACCCACACTCATACCCTGCAGAGATATCATCAGGAGGAGAGAAGAAACTGTTCCGTGAAGATGTTTCTCACAATAAAAACGACTTTTTTTCAAAAATTACGATGTAAAATCAATCAAGTGAATTAAAAGAACAATAATGAAAAATAAATGTACATTTCAAACATAATAGAATTTCAGAACCCACATATTAGCCATGAAAAATAGCGTTCATTTTGATACACTGATATATGTAGCATCTTTTTAAAATGTACTAATTAAAAAATCTTCTCACAGTGCATCATACATTTTTAAAGATCTGAATTTGTGAGTTCTAAACGTTGCATTATTGGAGAATCTCACTGTCAATTTTTGATATTGATCTTTCATTGGACGTTCTTTTAGAATAAATATCATTTGGATGAGATATAGGAAATGTCATCTAAAGACATCAATACAACATCATCAACAAGTGCTGAAGAAAGTTGAGTGTATTACATCATTATCTTGATCATCATCAACTAAACAAGGTATTGCGACACCAATAAAACTACTAATATCAGTTTTAATACGTGAATATACATACAAAACATCAACGGAAAGAACAATGCGTTCATCTAAATGTCATCGTTCAGTAATAACTAATTGTCAAAGTTAAATACATTCAACTAATTCATTAATTCCTTCAATTGAAGAACAACAAACAACAATCATCGTAGAAGAACAAAATATTTCATCAGAAAATATTAGTATTTATTTCATAAGATCAGCAACAAATTCAATGTTATCAACACTTTCAACAAATTCAACTGTAAATGATGAAGCACCAGTAATTATTTTACAAAAATCTTTAGCTAGTTCACCATCATCATTACCAAATGTAACTCTAATAATAGCAATACATCAAACTGAACGTTTATTATCCAATCTTATACCAAAACAAAATATTAATCCACTTATTCCTCAGCATCATTAATAAAAAATAAATCTTTATAAATGATTTTTATTGATGAACAAGAACAAGTATTAACAACTATTCCACAACAATTAAATATTGTTTTATCTACCGAAGATATCGAAATAATATCAGTTCAAGACAACACAACAAGTTGATATTTCAATTAATAGTCAAAAAATAATATATTTTCTTCTTCTATAAATTTTTCTTTTGCTCATTGAGTTCAATATGTAATTGATGACGATATTCAAATTCAAATATTCTCTAAACAATCAATTTGTAAAATAAATATTGGTGTTCAAATAACACCAAGTCTTGATTCATTATTTTGTCGTTATTTTAATACAATTGACCAACAAACAACATCAATTCTTACACACTTATCATCTGAAAAATGTCAAACAACGCCAGTTCCTATTACAATTCAACGTTCAAATATTCAGTAAACAATTTCATCATCATTAAAAATTCTTAATGAACAACAACAAATAATATCAATTTCTAGTAAAGCTGTAGATATGTCATTTGATCTATAGTTTAAACTTTGTTCGCCCCATCCCTCGATCGATAGATATATGTCCTTAGTTTACAACTTTATTCGTCTGATGATCCCTAGATCGACTAATATGTCTTTATGAATACATGATATCATCATTATTATCATTTCCCTCTCGCTCCATTTCTTTGTGTGTGTGTGTGTGTTTATGTATTTGCTAGTTATCTCTCTCTATTCGATTTTTGTTTTCTTTCGTTCGTTTTAACATTCCTCTTCGTATATAAACAGAAAGAATAATCTTCATTTTATTCATTCATCTTTCCAACTAACATGAACCAAAACGTTGTTATTATTATTGATGCTGGTAGTGGTATGTTTATTTGTCTTTATTATTAACAACTATAAATTTCAAATAAAATAGGAGTATGTAAAGCTAGAGTTACTTCTCACGCTAATCCGCAATTAATTTTGGATACGGTAGTCGGTTATGAATTCAGAAATAATGTCACGGGTATTCCGAAAAAGCGGTATTTTGACAACGAAGAATATAAATCGTTTAGTAAGTTTATAGAACGGTATATTATTATATAAGTAAATTTCTGTTTGTCTTATTTCGTAGTGATTGGATTGTCATATCCAATTGTTCGTGATATTATCAATGATTTTAACAGAATGGAAGAAATCTTGACTTATATCTTCGAAAAACTTTCTGTTAAACAAGAAGAATCTATAATTCTTCTAACAGAATCATTATTTAATCCAAAAGAAAAGCGTGAGAAAATCACCGAAATAATTTTTGAAAAATTTAATGCATCTGGTAATATTGGTCAAATATGACGATATTTAATAAAAAAGACATTTGTTTTTGTCTCTCATAGGATTTTATTTATCAAATGATGCAGTTTTAGCTTTGCTTGCTACTGGTCGTAGTACTGGGGTTGTATTACAAAGTGATTATAGTATTACACATTCTGTAACAGTAGATGAAGGTACTCATGTGAAAATTTTTGCCGTTGTAAGCTCTTTTCAAGCGGCTTAAATAAGCTGACACTGTAGTTAAGTGCTTTAAAGCGCTTAAACATTGCGGTTTTCAGCTGCTGAAAGCGGCTTTAATCAACTAAGCCGCTTAATATAGCTTAGAATGGGCTTTTATAAGCGCTTTCCAGCACTTATCACGAAAAGCGCTGAAAAGTGCTGTAGATTTTCATTCCTTTAAGCGCTTTCCGACGCTTATGATGAAAAGCACTTTTAGGTGCTGTAACCTTTCTTACTTCTAAGAACTTTACAAGACTTTACATGAAAAGTGCTGAAAAATCCTTCATATGGGTGTGTGGGTGTGGGTATGGGTATGGGTTGTGTGTGGGTTGGTGTGGATAGCAGTCTTGCTTTCACCTACACCCACACCCGACCACGATCAGCCATTTCTCAACGTTCTACATACACCACTGCAGTCTAGTAGTTTTCTCAAATTTGGGCACCACAATCTGCGCAGACAACAGACTTTAAAAAAATGCATTAAAACTTGTTAAAATTTCGTAATATCGCGATTTTAACACTATATTATCGTTAAAGTGTCGTGGTTACATAAGTTTAAACAATTTATAATGCATTAATACATCTTGAGCCCAATAAAATGCATCATTTTTTCGAAACTTACGCGGATATTGTCGTAGTCGATATTGATTCCACGCGTTGAATCGTGTCCATAGAACTCAATATACTTTAATGTTATTTCTAATAGGCAGCTCAAAATATTTTATTGCCACTGGTTGACTGCATTCGCTCTCGGTTTATTACAGCTCCCGTTTTAAACAGAAAATCGCGCTTTTATATAAATTGATGATCTAGTGAATGTTTATATGTAGATTGTTGATTCGAAAGCACCACGTCTAACATTAATGCGACATATAAGGTGTCTATGTCTGACCTGATTTCTGAGCAAGATGAGAAACTATTTATAAAATTTCGAAGAAAAAAATAATAAATGCACTGTCTATGTCTTTTTCTCATATACATTGGATTCTACATACCACTTTCCATGCATTTTTTAATCTGAATCATATCTCAGCCTTTTCAAATTGTTGGTTTTTTATTTATTTATCAATATTTCTTATAATACGATTGATTTAATGGCAACTTGTTAGCTGCTTTGTTTCCTATAACAGCTGAAACATGTACAAATTTCATTCAACAAATCATGCCCTCTATTGGAATCAGAGCTTTTCTCGTGTCCTTCAAATATAATGTACGAGTCATATGAATTATAATCATGACCTTTCAGTTTTATTGCTTCCTTTTTTACCTCTTTACGTATTTGCGTATCTCCTATTCCTTCGACAATCAAACGCAGGTATCGTAAAAACATGTATCCATTTCTCTTTGTTTTATATCTCTTATATTTAAGGCCTCCGCCCCCCTCAAAAAAAGTCAATTTTCGTCAAAAATTTCGAAATTGAGATAAATGTATGAGAAGATAGCCCTTGGTCTGCTCTTTCATAACTGATAAAAAGTTTTCCTCAATATTTCCTTTTTGTCCAAAATTTTCGAAGATTTTCGTCAACCCCTATTCGAAAAACCAGCTGTTTTTTGAAAAATCAAAAAATGTTTTTTGTTTTTTCTCGGTTTATGATTTTTTGATTTTCGTTCCAAGATTTCTCGGTCCAGTGTCGTTCAATATATTAAAATTTTTTTTTGTTTGAAAGAGCGCGTCGAGATGCAGGGCAATATAGAGTCCTTTTTTTAATTAAGCTTTATTTTTTATTATATAGACAGACACTTATGTGACTGGACACCCATTTTTGGCGCGTTTTTTGAGTCATTGAACTTGTGAGCCCCTTTCTCCGCAAAAAAAGTAAAAATTTAAACAAAATGACTCTATATTGCCCTGCATTCTGAGATGCTCTTTCAAACAAAAAGAAAATTTAAATATGTTGACAGAGCCCGAACCGAGAAATCTTGGAACGAAAATGAGCTATTTTTGACCCTGGTTTTGGTTCATATCTCTGTCAAACGTCGAGATATCGAGCTGAAAATTTTACCACAGCCTCCCCACTTCAGCCCTAACATATACTCCAAATTTCAGCCCATTTGAACGTTTCTGGGCTGAGATCGATTTTTGAGGCGGGGGGCTTAATAAATGAAGTTTATCTAGTGATGCAATCTCAGTCTCATAAAAAGGTCCATCTGTGATAGACTCATCAAGAACAAGACCATCTAGTTTAAACCTTAACATATTTTGTAAATTAGTAACAATCATACGAAGTTTAATGAGATAATCCAAATTTTCTGACAATTGAAAGGCATCATTTATCGATGTGGGTGTGGGTGTGGGTGTGGGTGTGGGTGTGGGTGTGGGTGTGGGTGTGGGTGTACGCTTGGATGTGGAGTTGATTAACAATGTTCGCACTCATATCTTCACCTACCCGCCTGCACCTACCCCCCACACTCACACCCGATTGGTTCTCATTTCGATCTCTATTTATCGAATTAAAAGATACTAAGTCTTCATTTATTTTCATGAAAGGTTATCAACATATTTATCTCAGAGTAGTCATTGATCAAAATAGAATTCAAATAATGCTCCAACTTGGTATTCATAGCATCTGATCTGTTTCATTATTCACAGTTCATCCACAGATTTGTAGATTCATTAAACTGTGACAGAATCAATGTTTATTTTTCAACATTATGAAGCTAAAGAATCTTGGATTAGTAGCTCAGGCAAAAAAAAGAGATAATACATTGATATTTAATTACTTATTCTTCTAACTGAACGTATGAAAGACGAATATACAGACTTACAATTAGAAATTCGGTTTGGTAGCGCTGTGAAAACAATATATATGAATTAGTAAAAACTCTATATCATACGTACCAGTAGCTTTTGCATTTTTTTTTGATTAATCAAGTTATCCTCTTGCATGTTAAATATAATAATAAATTATTCTAATTAACAAAACCACGACCAAAATGAGAATCCATAGAAGCGGACTGAAATGGGAATGATTCCAACAAAGAAACAATTAAAACTATTAGTATGTCGATCTCGGTTCTGTTTTTTTACCCTCGTTTGAGTTGATAATTAGCTGTCAATAAAATATAAACTAATTTTCGATAGAAAATATCTTGAATGATTTGACTGGTTGAAAAATGAATGCAATAAATTTAAATCTGTGTACTATCATAGATGGAACGATCCAAAAATAATAGAACACAGAATTCTTTTAACCTTTTGATGCCGGAGTGTTTTTTTTTGAAAAGTTGAAGTTTATATATCTATCTATCTGGGAATTTAGCAAAACAATGGAAGTAAAAAGCAAACAAAGAAATGGTAGAAATATTTAATTTTCTCTTTGTCGTATTAATCCTAATATGCATATTTTATCCAAGCAAGTGGCTGATAGCACGGTGAAGATCTGATTAATTTTCTAAATTTTTATATTGAAATTGTCATGTAGGAGGCGATTATAAAAGTTTAAAAGAATTATCAAGAGAGATACATAATGATTGTGTATAGGGAGCTGTAGAACATATAAATTATAATCGGTCTATCGTTTATATTGCTGGGAAATTTGAAAGCTGAATGCATGCGATGGTAAATTCCTATTTCCAGAAAATTCAAATAAAGTGACTATAGGAGAAATTTCATGAAAATTCAAACGAATGTTTTTAAGAATAATCATAGAAAACTCTTCTAATTAAAAAAAGAATATAGAAATGAAATTGAAGTCTAATTTAGGATTGGGTTCAGTCGGGTTGGGTCAAGTAAGAATATGTATATATATAATATATGATTCGATTTGGTGTTGCGTTAGGTCTTGAGAGTGAAGAGATCTTTTTGGTGCGGAATGTGGGTGGGCTAAGAGAAGACTCACATCCATAATGGGTTTCATTTTATGACCCGACCCAACCCAAAATCAAACCATATATTATGTAGATATAAAAATGCATGCCATGATTCGATAGAAATATAAATAATAGAGATCTTTTATACACGCATTTTTTTATGAAGTAGTATCAGAACAGTTATATATATAATAAAATAAAATGTGCCTCTATATATGAAAATTAGCACTGGGCATTGTCACATTAATACTGTTCGTTGCAATTTCCTGCACTTTAGGTGTGGCCAATTTTGAATTTTCTGGAAATTGGAATTTACCATGCCCTCGCTGAATGCGTAAAGCCAAACGAATTCTCGTTACACTTCAACTATACACGCACATAAAGGAATATTAACTATAAACATGTTTCATTTTTGAAAAATAAAAATTCACTCATTGTTCTTTTTTTTCGTTAATTAGAAAATAAGATTTTCCTTGGTAAAAGAACCTAGTTGACTAGATCGAAATGAATTTACGTGAAATTTGATCTTGTTTAAATGAAATAAATAAATTTCTATTATAAAACGTTCAAATGAGAGATACTTATGAATTTTTATTTTGTTATAATTCCATTAAAAAGTATGTTTTCGTCTCACTGAATATTTTCGAAACAAGTTGAGGCAAAAATTCTCTTATTTCGACTGATTATTGCGAGGCATAATATTAATAGAATTATGTTTCTTTAATAACAATTATCAATGACTTATGCAAAAAAAAAACGAATAAGAAAATGTTATTAATTGAATTACTTTACAATTAAGTGAACGTGTTTCAGTAGTCTAAAGAGAATAAGATATCTTTTGATATAATATAGAAATTTTTTTTTTATTTTTCAAGCTAAAACTGTTGAGTTTCTCAAGAAAAATTTCGATTAGAAGAAAAAATAACGATAAATTGAACAAAAAATTGATTTTCAATTATTGTAAAATTGCCTTCTGTACAAATTTCTCTCGAAATATATTAAAAAATTTGTTCAATTATTTATTATAAATTAATGCAGTTAAAACAGTACATTACAATTATGTATACAGCATGTCGCTGCTTGCTATCTTGTTCTGTTCGTGTCCTTACGAGCTTTGTTAATTTTTTTTGGTTCATGAGTCATCATGTTATATTAGTATGCTTCATATTCGGCATTTTTTTTTCTTTTCTCGATTTTTCCTCGTGCTGTCATTTCGATGACGTTGTCATCTTGTTTTTTTTTTGTTTGCGATGACTCATACATTATGGACTGCTATATGAGATGCATTACATATGCAAAATGCCTTCATTTTAAGACTTAAACAAACGATTTGTGCACGTAAGTAATATATTATATTAAAATGAATAGTTGCCTATACATTTTTAAAATAGTTTATTCGAAAGAAAATTCAAATAACTAATAAAAATAATTAATAATAATTATTTAAAATTTTAGTAAATTATACTTTCCGTCAAAGTTAACATGTTTTCATTTATGAGACACAGCTAGTTCATTTTAGTTTTAAAAAAAAATATATTTTTCTGAATTAATAATTTTCAATATCAGAGTTCGTTAATCAATAGCAAAGGTTTTAACATAATTGTAATCAAATTTCATAGTTTCAATAATTGTGAAAAGAAAAGAAACTTTCCTATTTGTACTTTTTCTAACCAACCTGAATAAGTTTTAAAAATGTTCATATTTGTTGCACTAAGAAAAATGACGTTAAGATTTTATGTTGGTATGATTAAGATAATATTTATGGAGTAAAAGAAAATGAACAAAATAAATAAATTTATATTATTTTAGATATTTAGAATAAAAGAAAAAAAAAAAAATGAATGAACAAAATATTGACACATTATTATCATCTGATGAATTATGGTTAAAAATTATAAATGAAGGCAAAGAAAATCGCGTCGAAGTTAATCAACGTATGTTAATTGATAAAATGTTGGCACGTTATTCATCTGAATTTGTTGTTTATCGTGAATTAATTCAAAATTCTGATGATGCCCAAGCAACATCATTTACACTTGAAATAACTTGTGATCCATCTACTGCTACAATAAATTATGAATCAGTTAATAAAGATGATTTATCAATTAATCAAAGAAAAAAAAATAATATTCTAGAAGGTATTGGACAATTATTTAAAAATCATTGGAAACCAAATACAATTAATTATAATAAAGATACAAATGATGATTCATTAAATAATCAACCGTCATATGAAAATGATTTTAATAATTGTATAATAACAGAAATTCGTACAATAAATAATGGAAATATATTTAGTGAAGATGATTGGAAACGAGTTATAACTATAGCTGAAGGAAATACAAATGCTGATGCTATTGGACAATTTGGTGTTGGTTTTTTTTCAGTTTTTTCTTATTCCGAACGACCTATGATACAATCTGGTAAACATTGTTTAGCATTTTCTTGGCAAAATGGAAAATCATTAACAACATTTCGTAAAGAATTATCTAATGATCAACAATCATCTTCAACTTCAATTATTCTTAAAATGAAAAATAAATATATTTTAGAAACGAAATCAACATTAGAAATCAATGAAATAAATAATGATATTCATAGGCCAACTAAATCAAAGAAAAATACAAATACAAATGAAATAGTACCTACAATGGATTTAACACAGCTTAAAGCTTATTTTACAAAAGTTCTTTCATTTACTAAATATATCAATCAATTAATTATTAAAATAAATGGCTTAACAGTTTTTCAAGTAAATAAAATAAAAAAACCATTATTATCAACAAAATTATCTTTAGCAGCAAAACGAATTAATTCAAATAATGCTCATAATATACTTCATTTTAATTCATTTGCACAAACTGAACAAACATTTTCTATTGAAAATGGTCCATCAATAACACTTAATCATATTGATGTACAAGCTGAATTAACTATTGATAAAGATTTTCATGAACAAATTCGAAATGTTCTTAAAAAAAGTTTACCTTCAATTGTACATATTCAATTTTTATTTCCGTCAAACAATGTTTGTTTAATTTTTTTTTTTTTACTCGTTTATTTTTATAGAATTTTCTATTTGTTTGTTTTGATAGATACTTCAACAACAACAATGGAAAACATTAACAGATAATAATTTAAATAATCAAATATTAAAAGAATTAATTCCATTAAAATTTCATAATCAAGAAATAATTCCAGCTGGTCAAATATTTATTGGTTTAGCAACGCATCAAACAACAGGTATTGGCATGCATTTATTTAGTCATTTAATTCCAACAATTGAACGTGAAAATATTGATTTACAAGATCCATATATTTCAATTTGGAATGAACAACTTTTAATATCAATTGGAAAAATTATTAGATTTATTTATGATCAAGTTATTCTTGATGCCGTTAATAACATTCAACACGAATCAAGTCAACACATCAATCTTATTCTTTCTCCTTATGCATTTGAACCATCAGCACCAAATAAAGATATTGGTTAGTAGATAAAAAATCAATATTTTTTTTTTATTTTTCAAATTATTCTACTGTTTTTATATAGGTCGTATTCTTCTCGATGGATTTTTTTCATCAAATGAAGATATTCTTGTACCAGTAAAACGATCTTCATCTGATAATCATCTTTCATTAATTCCATCGTCAGAAGCTTTTCTTACAAATTCTAAACATATTCAAGCATTTCTTCCTGTACCTCTTGTTCCATTTGATATTGGAAAAAATAATTTTTTTAAAGTTTTAAAAGAACGTCGATGGATTGAAGAAATCAATAATGAATCAATTTTAGTTAAAATTCATCAATCAGTTTTTCTATTCAATGAATTTATTGAATTACTTCGTTGGTTATGTAAATATGATACTAATAATAATAAATCTTATGTAAAACATGTTCTTTCAAAAATACAATATCGTGAAACTCGTCAATCATCTATTATTAAATTAGAAAATATTGAATTTTATGATATTCTTAATATATCTTCTCTTCCATTGCCACCAAATGTATTACCATCTAATATTGTTAGTCATATATCTCGTGAAGATTTACAAAGACGATTATCATTATCAGCTATTTCAGCGAAGAATTTAATTGAATATTATCTTGCTGAAAATCAATTACATCTTTTTCATAATGAAAATACATCTAAAATTCTTCTTAGTTTTATTTGTCAACATTGGAATAAATTTAATGATACAGAATCAAATCAAATAAAAAGTATTTTATCTAATATGAAATGTATTCCAACAAGTCAAGGCATGAGATCACCAAATGAATCATATATTCGATCATCAAATTTATCGTCTGATCTACCTATAATTGCACTTTACATTCCACAAATTGGAAAAGATAATAATCAAAAAGACAAACAAGAATCAATAGATCATCCAGTATCAAATGAATTTCTTAAATTAATTGGTTGTCGAACGATTCATATACCAACATTAACAAATACTACACAGACTACAGCGGATATTTCATCAAATAGTTCACAGACACTTGAAAATTTTATTCAAGATTTATTAAAACAACGTAAAAATATGAGTGATAATGATCTTCATGCATTAAAACATAATCAATGTATTATAGGTTAGTGTTTGTGAAATACGATCTAAAAAGTGACAGACATTGATATATAATCTAAAGTCGTATCTCAATAACTTTTCGTTACAATATGTGTACCATTTTCTTATTGCATTTCTGAAGAATTAAGTAAAATAGTAGCAAAGAAATGGATCCCAAAATAGATACAATATAACAATTTCCCTGTGATTAGCAACAATAACTACGCTAGCTCTCACATCTTACGGCCCGCCCGCCCCCCCCCCCCCCCCCCCCCCCCCCCCCCCGCCCCCCCCCCTCACATGCCCCCCCTCACNATCAGTTCAACCTTAGAATGTAATAAGAGAACCATTTTCATTGTATCTTGAACTATAGATCTCAAGTCCCTCTATCCACATCAAAGGTCAAAATCAAAATTTCAGTCAGGTGGCAGGTCATTTTCATGCATTCTTTTCCGTATTTTTCGAAGATGATTAGTTTTAAAAGGATTTCGTCTTATACATGATCGAGGAAAAATATATCCCAACTTCTTCTCTGTCAATCGGTAAAAGCCGCAGGTCGTTAGCTATTGCCGTTATCGAGATATTGCGCTTACACCCGCCCCTCTTTCATTCTGGCGCGGACATTAGTTTGATGCATTAAATCTTGATAAAATTATATTTTGTTCATATTCTTTTAATGTTTCAATGACACAGCGATTGAATTCAATAATCTTTTATTTTTATAATTATAATAGAGTATCTCAAACGATTCTTGTAACTAGCATTCATTTGAAACCAAAGAGGTTCTAAAAAAAAAAGAATGAAGTAGGAAAAGATTTCTTTTTAATCAATCAAAGTCTAAGAATGAAATAAAACTAGTTCTTTGTCAATATTGCTTGTGATGAGTGTTTCCAACTATCAGATCACTTTTAAGTCGAGACTTTTACACCATGTAAGCTCTAATAAGTGTTATGAGCACTTTGAGAAGGGTTCGAACTGCTAGCTTATTGTTCCAAAGATACTGCAGAATGTGAATGCTAATTAGAAAACAACAGTATTGCAGTGACACTCACAACTTAAATTCAAAGATTTCATTCGCGACATACTGATCAACAAAAAAGTCATGTACAGAAGATGTCTATGAACGAATTTGTTATCTATATTCGTATTGGAAATTTCTATGAATATTGTTTAATTTTCCAAATTTTATATACATGTCTGCACATGTTTTAACAGTGATTATATTATCTTCTGTCAATTGAAGTGATGTCACTTGAGAACCAATGTGTTCGGTGATGAATTGTTCATTATTTTATATTTTTCTTTTAGTCTTTTATTATATATTTTGCTTAAAAAGAAACTTCGCTTTTTTTCCAAATAAGTACGACAAAATATGAATCAGTTAACTTTTCTTTGAAGATTTTTCAAAATTCACTGCAATATAACGAAAGAACATGCGAAATGAGAAGAATTATTGCAAAAGTAGACAAATATTGATAGTTTCTGTTTCCGTTGCTTGTAGTCGTTGAGGATGGACAAGAAACAATCGCAGTGCTTCGTGTTGTTGGAGGTCGGGTAGTTGTTTCATCCGATGGTTCTAAATGTTCGTCTTGACTTTGGAGAATATCATTTACCCAATGATAGTAGTATGATAATCGAGTATATATGCCAGGATAACCTGGATCTGCGCAGCCATATCCGTACGAGACAATACCTACTTGTTCCCAATAGCGTCCTGTCCATAGAAAAATTGGTCCACCTGAATCGCCTGTATAGTTAGGTGTACACAAACAGTTTAGTTGAATTTAGAATGAAGAAAAATTTGAAAAAAAAAGCAATAACATACCTTGGCATGAATCTGAAAAACAAAATAAATGAGATTAATAGATCAAGATGAATAGTTCTTGTACGCAGATTATTATTTAAGTCTCATAGGAATATACAGATTTAAAGGCTAGGAACATTTTTGTTTTTGTTTTACTAATTAAGATCTATCTTATATGATAATTTGGATCGAATTATTCTCAAGATACCTCGATTAGAGCTTATTGGCGTCATTGTGATCCCATCCAACAATAAAAACTATTGTCTTTAGATCGAAAGAGATAAAAAAAAGAAACTTTTTTTCATGTTCAAATTTCGAATTCGTTGTTTACTAACCTTTGCCACCTTCAATAATTCCTGCACAAAATTGTAATTGTGGATCATTAATCGAGTCCACACATGTTGGATGATTATTGTCAATTGTAAAAACTTGAACTTGCTGGAGCATATCAGGTAGAACGAAATCTGAACTTTGTAAAATACCCCATCCAATAACGGCTAAACGTGAGCCATTTCTTGGATGTTGAATGGTTAATGCAGGTGGATCAATGCGATGAACACATGATTTAGCCAATCGTGGATTATTGGTGTAGACGATTGGAGTCTTAACATGCAAAAGTGCAATATCATTACGAAAATCACGAGCTTGGGACGAGTAATTAGGATGTATGTAGATACGATCGACCTCTCGTATGATTTGTCTTGGATCAGATCGGTTTGTCATACCGACAGCAACAGTAATGTTCCTTCCATTTCCGATTGATAAAGTGTCAACACAATGAGCCGCAGTGAGAATAAATGATTCAGATAAGAGTGTTCCACCACATCGATGAGATGTTCCAGGATAAAGAAGTGAAACAATCATTGACCAACTAGCTTCGATAGCATCTTCACCGCCAACAATTCGAGATGGTAACAGAGCAACATCACTTTGACCACAACCGCATGTTGATGTTCGATCACATTGATAGACTACATGTGGTATTGGTGTGGATGTAGTCGACACGGTATTGGCTATAGATTCCATCCAATCATAATAGTACGCAAGTCGGGTGTAAATGCCGGGATCTCCTTCAATGGCGCATCCTTTCCCAAAGCTTGTAATACCAACCTAAAGTAGAAATCTTCGTAGCAGAAAAACACTATCTTCGTCGAAATTCGACAGTTTTAGGGTGCCAGCGACGCATATCAACGAACATTCTTCTATTACCAATGTCAAGCGAAATATTCGTTTCGTTTCAGTTCGTATTCCACTTCGAGAACTATCCATTATGTCAAAAAAAAGCTCGAACTTGGAATATTCTCTTCACCTTTATGCTCAAATTTTGAGATCAAACTCGACAAAACAGAGATGTGAGCATGTTTCAATCGTTCACAACAAATCACGCTTATTTTATTCAAGAGAAAAGCGTTTATCTGTCAGCTAATAGATAGGATATCTTCGTTACTACGAAGGCACAGATCAAACAGTTCGAGAATTTTCACTGCACACTATTCTGGAGAGTACGATTGGAAATAAGTCTTGAATACTATCGTAAGAATTGTGAATCTTCCCACTCCGTACGCTCCGCCTCACAAGGTGTAACGGATATTTCCAAATTCTCTTCTTTTGATCCTTTTGTAGGTTATGATCAGCATAGCTAGAGTTTTCATGTGCAAAGAAACCAGCTCCGTCCTGCTTAACATTTACATCTTGACAATTTATACGAATAGATTTCTTTGTCTAAAAGTGTTGTGATTCCGAAATCAATTCGAATACGAAGATTATACCAATGTTCAAAGAAACACTCTTTTGACATTCTTTCTGTGCAATTGACTCTAGAGAAGCGGATCAGTTTTTCCGCAACAATTTTACCGTTATTCACTTCTGAACCTATTTACCTGTTCCCATCGATTATCAAGCCATTGTAAGATTGGTCCACCAGAATCACCTAATCAAATACAATTTATTACAATGACTTAAATAGAAATCAAACTATTCAATAAGTACCTTGACAAGTATCTACAAAAAATAATAAAACAGAGAAAAAATGTAAGATACATAAACAGACTTGAATAGATTAAGACTTACCTTTGCCACCTTCATAAAGTGCAGCACAAAATTGTACTTGTGTATCATACAATGATTTATTACAAATTGGATCATTGTTATCAATCGTGAATACTTGTACTTGATGAAGATTATCAGGTGAATTATCAAGCCAACTCTGTTTTATATTACCCCAACCAATTGCAGCTAAACGTGTACCATTGCTTGGATAAGTTTCAACATTGTTTGGTGACTCAACTTTGGGTACACAAATACGTGATAACAATTGATTTGAAGCAAGTCTAAGTGGCTGTGACAAATGTAACATTGCAATATCATGTCGACGTTCACTCGATGAAGATGACCAACCTGGATGAACATGGATATGATCTACTTCACGGATTACACCATTTGGATCAGATCTATTATGTACACCAGCCACAATTTGTATACGATCAGGTGTTTCATCATCGACACAATGAGCGGCTGTGAGAATATAAGAATCTGAAAAGATTGAACCACCACAAAAGTGACTGTTGGACGAACGATGTTGCAAGGAAACCATGAATGACCAGCTGTAGGGTACTGCTTCTTCTCCACCAACGATTCTCGATGGTGTAAGTTCAACATTTTTATATCCACACCCACAATATACTTGTGAATTGTCACATGTGTATGTCACTGGTGGTCGGACATCGTTGTCCATCACAATTGATCGAACCCAATGGTGATAATAAGCTAATCGTGTGTAAACACCTGGATTACCTGCGAGGGCACATCCTCTACCGAAACTTGTTATACCCACCTAAGCACATAATACTATGACAATGATTTCAAATTATGAAAATCCATTAGTTTTCTCTGGCGACTAAGCTGACATTTGGACGTCATTGGAATAAAGACCTATCTAAATTTTGTATTCTAAAGGATATATAATGGACTAGTTTTGTTATAGAAGATTTCTGTAAGTATGAATGTCGCAAAAAGTTAGCAACTATGATACGGTAGAGTGCAACAATTTTTGTGACTAAAGTTTTACCTTACAATGTTAGTCATACAGTGTCTACTGGTGAAAATTTGTTCATTTGATGTTTCTCGAAATCTCAACGTATGAATAAAGAAGACCAATCGTTTAGTTTTGATAGAAAAATAATACAGGTGAATATGTCTGGTTTATAATATCGAAAATTAGAATTATAAAATGCCGATTATCCACCCATTAATATCTCATAGAGCAAATGGAACAATAATGAAATCAGATTTGATTCGAAAGAAAGTTTATTATGTTCTTACTTGTTCCCACCGATTGCCAAGCCATTGAAAAATCGGTCCACCAGAATCACCTAATCAAAAATAAATATGACAATGAGCGATCAATCACACTCGAATAGATACATACCTTGACAAGTATCTAGAATAAATAAGAGAAAAGATATAAATCATAAACGAAATATTGATGTAAACTAAAACAAACCTTTGCCACCGTCGGGTATTCCAGCACAAAACTGTACTTCTTTGTTATACATTGCTCCATCACAATCGGGATCATCGTTATCAATGGAAAATACTTGAACTTGATGAAGATTGTCTGGTGAACTTGAACTATCACCATCTCTAGTACGACCCCAACCGATCGCTGCTAAGCGTATGTCACTTGATGGGTAATTTTGTATGTCGGTGGGCCAATGAACATGTGGTATACAAGTTCGTGATAAAAATCGATTTGAATCAAGTCCAAGTGGTTCTGATAAACGTAAAATTGCAATATCGTTAAGATTTTGAATTGCTGACCAGCTTGGATGAACAAAGATGTGATCAACTTGACGAATCACAGCATTTTCATCGGATTTATTATGCATACCAGCAGCAACTATTACATCACTAGGTAAGTCAGTATCGACACAATGAGCTGCTGTGAGAATATAAGAATCTGATAGAATAGAACCACCACAGAAATGACGACCAGATGACGCTACTCGAAGAGAAACCATCATTGACCAACTATTAGGTATCGCCTGTTCACCACCTACAATTCTCGATGGAGTAAGTTCAACGTCATTATAACTACAACCACAAGGTACTAATGTATTGTCACATGTGTATGTCATTGGTGTTGGTGGTTCTGTTTCCTCCGCAACCAAATTGGTCCGGTCATTGTAAGTAGGTAATTGAGCGAAAAGCGAAGATATTGATCTAATATGTAGCACAATGAGCACAACATCTATTAGTCGATAATTCATGATTAACTGCAAAAATAAGGCTTGAGTAATATGAAAGAAGTCTAATATATTTCATCTTTATATATGAATGAGCAAGTAAAAAATATTTGCCCAGAGCTTTGTTTTATACGCACATATTATTTCGGAATTTTTGTTGATCGAAAGATATATTTTATTCGGATAAAACAAAGATTTACATTGTTGACGCACAGGCAAATACGGATTCTAGATGTAATTTGATCTGATGCTCACGAATATTTTGTTCCTTCATCTAGAGCGTCATGACATATAGAAATATATTGGAGTATGGGATAATAGAGACTCCATTCATTTTGCATATAGATTTTGCAAACTTAGTAAATTATGGTCACGAGATATAGGTTGATATATGAAGTGCTGTCTGCAAAACGAAAAATGGTGTCATAGGGATCGAGCACAGCAATTTCATAATACTAATCAAATATTATTGTTGACCGTTACTTAATCATTCTGATAATCTTTATATGATTTATTTGTTCTGTCAATAACTTGTGACTACTTATCACAAGCCTGTAAGCTACCCTTTTGTTTTGCACTCTAAATGCATACTTGCAGAGGCGTTTAGCTAAGATTATTTTCATGTAGTAAATGATTGCGAAAATGACACATTTTCTTGTGAAATATTTTTTTCGTCGTCAATCATATCAATAACTTTTCTCATGAGACTGTAAGTTTCGAACCTCTGATTATATCCTTGTATGCTTGTGACGTCTGTTGTAATTCGAAAAATCTTGAACAGGCAATATATGTTCTTGTATTTCTGGTTTCAATATCACTGTTCTTATGAATTACTCAACGAAATAATCGCAACAACAAAAAATATTCATGATCGTGCCGAGAAGTAATGAGAAAATGAACATAATACTAAAATAATTCGTTTTTCTTGCATGTTGTCAATTCTTTGATAGCTTTTACAAGAATAGTTATTGTAGGAAAAATTTTGGCAACAATCTAATGAATATTGTTTTTTCATAGGGATACAACACATGTTTGTGTAACTGCATAAAGTATGTAAATTTTCGATATGAAAACTCATCAAACCTTTGGGTCAGTTATAAACAGTTTTAGTCGCTCTACTTGATATCAGTGCAAAATTCTCGAATACAATAAGGAAACTTCTAAGATTTCGCTGGTTTTTCTATCGGAAATTGATGATATTTACGTAATAAAATAGGCTTTGTTGCACATCTACTGCCCATTCCAAAAAAGAAGGCGGGTGGGTATTTTTTGAATAACTTTTGATAGGTACAAGATAGAAAGCTGCGATTTTCACCGTTGGAACGAGATATATCTGGCGCATCTATCCATATGAAATTGTTGAGATTCATTTCATTAATAACTAGTGATCAATGGTCCCCTTGAACGAGTAGCCTATTGCTTTATGAAGATAGAATCAATTTTAAACTTTGAGGAGTGGACTAGAAGTGCCAACTCAAGCTCTACAAATCTACGAAAGGCCGAAATTATGATTTCGATTCGTTCAAAGGTTATGAGCAAACTCCTAATGGTATTTGATCGAGTTTTTGTCAGTTTTACGTTGTGCAAAGTATTTTTCAAATTATCATTNATCTTATCTTTCTCGAGTTATCAAGTTCACAATGCATACCAATGACATCCATTAGAACTTCATTCTTACTCGAGCCACTGTGGTGTAGATGGTGCTGCTGACCTACATTCTTTATGGGCTACCTGCACACCTATTTTCACCCGTTTAGTTCTTGTATGGACTGAGATCCGAGGGGGGGGGATACTTTTGTCAAGTAGTGTATATATTTAATAAATTTCTGATAAGTAATTGATTAGAGAACTTAGCGATATTGATACGACAAATCGAGTTCTAATACCGTGAGAAGTATCGCAAGACTAAAAAGTCTTGATATCATTTCAATTGCTTCTCTATATATAAAAATATATACTGAGCAAGGACGTAACCAAGGGAGGGCAAATGGGCAATTGACCATTTGATTTGGAGGTTTGCCCATTGAGATTTTAATTTTTCAGAATTGCTTATTTATTTTTGAATTAGATAGTAACTGTATTTGTTTTCTTTCGTCTGAATCGCACATGTACTCTTTGCTTGTTCTCTTTGTGAACAATGAAGAAAAGAATCGCTTCGTGTATTTTAACTGTAAGTGTGGGTGATCGTAAGTTCGATTTTATTGAGAAAACATTCATCACATAAAGGTAGAGAGGGATAGATCAAAGAGAAGAGAAACTAGAATACAGAGCAAGAGAACACACACGAATATATATATATTTGTCGTCGACCAATCTCAAATCTAAGAATGGACTAGTCCAATACCGGACTGGGAAGAAATTTTCATTACAACCTCCGTAGCCGTCTACATAGATGTTGGATTGAAATTCTTGTTGGTGAACTGTGTTGACACAAAGGCATTCCAGGTCTAGCAATCACTAATGAAGAACTTAAGCTTGGACTCGAAAACTCATGGACAACTTTCCATAAAGTCTGTTCTTCTGTAGAAACTCATCCATGACTTCATGAATTCTACTTTAGTTTCTTCATTATTGATTGCAAGACCTGAGATTCCATTATGACAATACAATTCATCAACAATAATTCCAAATCAACATCTACATAGACAATAACGGAAGTTCTAATGAAAACCTCTTCGCCGATCCAACACTGGACTACTCCATGCTTCGATCCGAGAGTGACCTACAACATATGTTTAGATATATATGTCGTAGGACAGATTGAAATTCAGTTCAGATTGAAATATTTTCATCTGAACCAGTTCAGTTTAAAATCTTCCTAGTTGAGATCAAAATTATTTTAAAGTGAACTAGGAAAATTTTAAACTGAACTAGTTCAGATGAAAATATTTTAATCTGAACTGAATTTCAATCTGTCCTACGACATATATATATAGAGTGACGCATACAAGAGAAAGAAAAAATCCAATGACGTATATGTGAAAATATAAAGGAAAAAAGTCAAGATGTGAAATGACCTATTAGTTCGTAGGGATTTTTGTATCTGAATTTGAAATATAAATGTTATAAACAGAGACATTACAAATAGACTAATATACACCTGACTCAGACTTAACATCTAAGTTTGATGCATATTTGATTAAAAGAATCTCATTTCAGGTTTTTTTGTTTTTTTTACGTTATCAGTACTTTGTTGGGTCAAAAACGTTGGCCATTTTGCCCATCCTTTTTCTTCGATACAAGAGAAGTTTACCCATTGATCTAAAAGTCCTGGTTACGCCGCTGATACTCAGTGTCCCAGAAATAACTTATCACAAAAAGAAGAAAATAGCTCTGCTGTATTTCAATTGAATGAGTTAATTTTTTTCTAATGATGATAGACAATTTCAAGTTTTTATGCCTAAGTAAAAAGTTTGGTAACATTACTAAAAATTATTATCATCTATATAAAAGAGAAAAATTTACCGTTTCTAATAAAGATAAACATTTCAACTACATCAGATAATCAAAATACGATTAAACTACTGACTAAATACTCAATTCTCTTCTCATCATTATATCAATTCAAATCGTTAATTGTCTAAACAAAGAATTCTGTTTATTAGTCATGCGAGTCCTTTCAAAATAACACGCATTCTGTATGAAATGTTATGACATTATGTGCTTCTTGTTTGTCTTTGTCACACGTTTTCGGTCAAGTCAGAATAGTGACGTGTTTTTTTTCTCCAAAATACTATTATCAGTTACCTTTTGCATTTTATTTCTGTTCTATATTTACCAAACATAAAGTGAAGACTGGGATATTGGCCACGCGTCTCATACTGTGTTAATCATCGATCGAGTACTTTTCCAACATGACATCAGCAATTAATAATGCCACTCTGGAGAAATATTGGTCTATCAACCTACTAGAAGAGACACGACAAGGTATAGTTGTTTTCAGCTTTTTTACTATCTTTCCCGTCTAAAAAAGCAACTTGTAACACGTTTTGTTCTTTTTAATATTGCGTAGACGCTATCATGACCTGTTTCGAAGATCTGTCGAATGAATTGATGCTTGAAGTTTTTGAATTTCTCGATGGATGTCATATACATGAAGCATTCAGCAATCTAAATACTCGTTTCCAATTTCTTCTCGATAATTGTTCACTTCCCTTGAAACTTAATCTTTCCACACATAAGTCAACATTTCAAAATCGTTGTACCGATATTGTTGGACCTAATGTACACAAAATTTCGTCACTTCGTTTATCAAATCCTTTACTGATTGATTTTTTCCTTTCAACATTTACCATCAATTCATCGTTTTGTCGACTTGAAGCAATCATATTTGATGAAATCAAATCAAGAAGTCTCACATGTCTCCTCGTTGATTTAGCCTCGCTACCCTGTCTCGTCTATTTGTCCATTACAATCGCTGACTATTTAAAATTTCGCGACGAAGTTTACCATCTTATATTTCGTTTGCCCAAGTTGAAATATTGTACATTGGCATTTGAACTTAGTATGAAACGTCCTCCATTAACCATTGCTGAAAATATGCGCAGCAATATTGAACATCTCAGTATCAATGGGAGCTGCCGCCTCGATGATCTTAGCGGTATTCTCTCTTACACGCCTAACCTACGCCGATTATCATGTCGCTTATATGAAGACCGAAGAATAATAACAGAAGTACCGATTGTATCGTATAGTCTTACACATGTCTCCTTCGAATTGTATAATGTTTCTTTTGAACAATTCCAACATATTATTCGTCAGCTTTCTTCTCAAATAAAACTACTGCGCATCAAAACGCAAGATGATAATGCCTACTTTAATGCTAGTCATTGGCAACATTTGATTTTAAACTACATGCCTAACTTACGCACATTTGATATTCAATATCGAACATTAATTAGGCAAGAACCCAATTGCCATATTCAGTGTGAAACATTGTTGAATCCATTCACCTCTGTGTTTTGGCTGGAACGACAGTGGTTTTTTATGCATCAGCATCACCAGAATGATTTCTCTGATGTGTTTTTTTATTCTGTTCTTCATTTCAATCGGTATCAGTCAATGAGTTTTGTGAATTGTGAGATGACTTTTCTTTTTTTTGTTGTAGAAGGAAGTACTCTACGTTGCATGACGAGGAACATACGAAGAACAACTATGGTGAAACAACAGACCTTAATTTAAACCATCGACTTGATACTCGCATTCCTCAAGGTACTGATGGTCACTTGACATCGTATTCTCATGCTACTGAGCTCGTTGTTTCGAATTATTGTGCTAATTCATATCAGTGGTTTACTGTCAATCTCAGTCATACGATTCCTTTGAGACAGCAAAGTCAACTTAGCGTTCAATATGAAGATCTCAACATGAACACTCTAATCAGATATCTTTCAATGGACTCCAATGCTAATTTATTGACAAGTTTGAGAAACATAATACATTACTTGAATTTTCTTTGGGGCAAACAAATGCAAACGGCTTGCTTAGTGTTTAAAAGCAACATAACCAAAGTTACAGTTGTACACCAATGCACGCTCGATGACATCAAAGTCTTTTTCAATCTCTGTTCTCGAATGGAATGTCTGCAGATCCCTGTGAATACTCAACTCGAATCAATCGTGCAATATCTGCTGAAAGATCGTTTTAACAGTCGATGTTTCTCTCTGTGTCTTCACAATGGAGACCACGATACGATCGTAAGGTTACAAAAAATGATCGCTAGTGAAAAACAATTGAACTCTTGTGCGATTGTACGTTTTTGTGATAAAGTGTATTTATGGTGGTAGTAGGTGTGCATGAAAAAAAAAAACCAATAGTCACATTCACACCTTCCTATCCACACTTCATTTCTATTAAGCAAAAGTTCATTAACTAGATACGCCAAAAAAAAAAGCGATGAAATATATACTTTCATTTCAGAATAAAAACAAAACACAAATAATGAATGACAACAAAAAAACAATCTATCAAAAGGCTTTTAGTTTTTTAAAACAACGTGCTATACTCATGAGTCTATAATAGTTAAAGGTGATATAAAGAGAAAAACGAAAATTTAATTTTTTAGATTAATGGTACTGAAAAATATAATTATTTGTCGTTAGTGTGGCTCTAAAAACTGTTGATCTTTTTATCATTACCTAAGCAATGGATATATAATCAAATTCATTCATTTGCTTATACTTAAAACAAATTTGATTTAGTACATGCGCCAGAATACATTTCCAATGTTTATTTATTCTTTAGCCTTGTTTTCAAAACAATATATAGTACTGAATACAGCAAATAAAGTTGAAGATTTTGATAAAGAAAACTAATTCATGTTTAAAAAAATTATTGGCTGTGGATATTTTTGCCATAACTCAAGAATGGAAAGTCCTATAGAGCTGTAATTTTCACCAGTCGAAGTCGAAGACATCGGGACGTCTTTTTCTCCAATATTATATAAGATAACGCCATTTTCAAATTAATCATTTCCAAAAAACATTGTAAAAAATGCAAGAAAACAATTTGCCATTTCGATGAAACTTTGATTTAAATGAGTGATTTAGAAGAAACGGCTTCAGTCACACATTATAATGTTAAGTCAATACAATTATCTATTTAGTTCCTCAAAAAACATGGGTTTCTCTTAATTTTTAAGCAAATTTTCTTCCTTTTTGTCAAATTTTTATCTGCACAACCGATCGTTTTTATACATTTTTTTCAGTGTTTTGTAAAAATGGTTGATTTTAAAATGATTTTGATTGATGGAAACCTCAGTTCTATAGTTCTTTCCGTTCTTGAATTATTGCAAAAATCTCCAGTCATTAGTTTTTTAAACAGGGATTACTTTCAAAACCAAAGGTGATGTTTTGTGTCAAGAAGTCTTGAAAATATGATATGCCTGAAAGCTAACTCTACTCTCACTATTACATGTTAGACAAGTTGTGACGAATAGGATTGATTAAAACTAGAGATTTTTGCGCATCACATATAATACAGGATTCAAATCTTATATATGCATATCGAACACAATAACTCCATTAAATTTTTCAAGTAGAGCTCTATATTTGTATACAAAAACCTACACTTAAATGCGCACTTTCATCCCAATAAACATGCGACGTGCTTCCACAATAATGCAGCTTGCTACTTGATTTTTGTACCTTCTTCTACGTTTCTTTCATTTTCTTGTTATGAAAGGTCATTAGAATTTATCATATAATTGATCTAAATATGTGAAGTGAATATATTTGTGACATTGTACCTCAGTGTTTGTTTTGTCAGGAAATTCAATATATCGAATCTAATGACAACAAATTAAAAGAGCTGTACGACTTCTCTAATTAATGCATCCTTATGTAACATTAATTATGCATGCCATATTTTCGAAACTTCTTGACATAAATGACTTCATTTGAGATCTTTATTGATGTGTTCATCTTTATTTTCTCTATTCAATTGTATAATTTATTTTAAAAATAAAACTAACTAGTTGATCATAATATAATAGATAAACATTAGTGTTCAATCACCTTCATTTTACTTTATCTCGATGTTGCTTTCGATTGTTTGTAAAATAAAATAACTTCAAATATTCAGATAAAAGCATGCTTTACAAGGCATGGGTTTTCTATTGTGAATTTCATTTCTTGTTTCATGGTAGATCTACGACTATGGAGAAAAGATGGTTTACTTTGTTGATAAATAATATATATCGATTTTTGAGTGTATAACAGATAGTTCACATCTTATTCTATCAAACATATTCCGTACTCAAGAGAAAAAAATCAAATGATCACTATTCACTTTGAATATTATCTTATAATTTATAAATAACGATTTTTAATTACAACTTCCAAACATTACAGATTCGCGTAGAGTAAACGCATAGTACTCTGATTATATTTCAACTAAGCTAATTTTCTCTTATGTTCATCTCTATTGTACAGAAAATTTTAGACAAACTAAGATACATGAATCTGCTTTATTTTATAAGTACAACAACAATTTTACAATCACAATACAGAACTAAATTTTTAATACGATAATAAATGATACTGATAGAGTAGTTAATTAGTTCTTCGATTGTTTTGTAAGAGAGTACGGATAATAATCAATTTTTTACTGTAGGAAACTATTAGTCCCCATTCCGACTTGTCTTTCAATGGTCGTTATTACCATCATATAATCTTTTGTGAATGTATGACTTCTTGGATCTACTTGATTTGATCGTTTACCAAGACATTCTAATACAATTTTACGTATATGTTGTCGAAATCCATGAACGGATATGTAAAGAAATAAAGCATTCATCGCATTTCTTGTATACATTAATGTGTTTGTAGCAAGAAATACCGTGTCAGTATAGTCATATCCAATAATTTGATTTGCAAAAATGGAAAAACATAAACGATTAGGTACAGTACAAACAGCATACGTCAAACACATCAGTAACAACATTAGTGAAATGCAACGGTTACGGTGAGCACTCATTGCTAATTGACCATTTGAAGATATTGGTTTAAAAATCAGCTTTTTTATTGTAAGAAATGTGCAAGCAATTATGATAGTAAACGGTAGAAAATACATGATCACGAGATGAATCTTTACATGAAAATAAATACTAATTTAAATTTACATACTTAGGGTATATCAAAAGTAGTGTCGTCATTATCTTATTTCCATATAGAAAGCTTGAAGAAATGTTCTTTTTCCGTAGTGACACAGATAAAGATGCTCTAGTTTTCTACGCTACTTGATCACTATTGAACTAATGTCGTAATAATAAAATTAAGATAACAGCTGTTTTTCTGTAAAATCTAACGATTGTACTAATGTTATTTGAAAAAAGGTCGAATGAGTATTTTTTGACTAACTTTTCGTAGGAACAAGATAGAGAGCGACGGTTTTCACTGGTCGAAAGAGGAGATAAAGATACATCGAATTGCATGTAATGGACTTTCCAAATATGTCGTCTGATATTGGTTTAATCAATTTTCTAGCTGGTAAAAAAATGACTTTTTGTTGAAAAGCAAACAGCAAAAACACATTTTGACACAGAAATTGCTAGAAAAATCACTTACAGCTTCAACTAGGCTAGTATGACTGCTGAAAAATAACTTTAAACATATCAACCTTATGTAGTTTTGTAGAGCTTTCATTGACGGTTTGAATACACACCTGAAACTAGACTCAAAAGTCTGAAGCGTTCAATTCGAGGCCGTAGAATCGTTAGATTTTACAGAAAACAGTTCTTATCGTAATTTTATTATTACGATATTAGTTCAATAGTGATCAAATAGCGTAGAAAACTAGAGCGTCGTTATCTTATTTTCATNATCTAACGATTGTACTAATGTTATTTGAAAAAAGGTCGAATGAGTATTTTTTGACTAACTTTTCGTAGGAACAAGATAGAGAGCGACGGTTTTCACTGGTCGAAAGAGGAGATAAAGATACATCGAATTGCATGTAATGGACTTTCCAAATATGTCGTCTGATATTGGTTTAATCAATTTTCTAGCTGGTAAAAAAATGGCTTTTTGTTGAAAAGCAAACAGCAAAAACACATTTTGACACAGAAATTGCTAGAAAAATCACGTTAAACATATCAACCTTATGCAGTTTTGTAGAGCTTTCATTGACGGTTTGAATACACACCTGAAACTAGACTCAAAAGTCTGAAGCGTTCAATTCGAGGCCGTAGAATCGTGAGATTTTACAGAAAACAGTTCTTATCGTAATTTTATTATTACGATATTAGTTCAATAGTGATCAAATAGCGTAGAAAACTAGAGCGTCGTTATCTGTATCACTACACGTAAAAAAGAACATTTCTTCAAGCTTTCTATATGAAAATAAGATAACGACGACAGTACTTTTGATATGCCCTAAGTGTATAGTGTAATACTTATCCATGGATATTGAATAGCAAAAAAATTATTGAGTTCAATGTTCATTGAGTAATAACATGCTACAGTTGTTTGTATTATTCCTGTACTATGATCATATGTCGAATATTCAAAACCTAATGCAAATAAAAATCCATTTAATCCAAATAAAATTAGTAGAATAATAACACAAATTATGAATGCAACACGTGGTCGAGCTATTTTGATTTTATACCATCGACTTCTTAATAAACAAGCTCGATCAAGCTCAACAAAAGTAAGAAACATGGCTGATGTATGTAAAGTATAAAAAGGAAAAAATTGACTTAATTTGCAGATGAATAATGATTGACCCCATATTTGTTTTTGACCATCTGTGAATGTATATATAATATTACTTAAATTCCATTGATAAAGTGAAATTGTATCAACAAGACATAAAAATATCAAATAGATATTAGTTGATGTTCGACGATTTTCTTTATTGAGTAAAACAATAATAGATATAATATTGCCAACAGTACCAATCACAATAAGAACAATATGAACAATACCACTTATGACTAACTCAGCCGTTTCGTAAGGGACTGAATCTTTCTTTCGATGCCATGAAGCCATTTAGTACTAACTCGTATATATAGTATATAGTATGCGTACTACAACAAATTTTTGAAATGAATGATGCTGATATAACCATATATTTTTTTTTCTCTGCGCTTTTTTCAGGCTTATTTTTATGGTCATAGTGTTCTTGAGTTTTTCTACTCATTTTATCTTTTCTATTACAAAAAAAAAAGAAACAGAAAAAAGAAACGCTTATTATCTTAATCAGATGAATATTTCAAATTGTATCTCATTGACAATATATAGCTTTTGGAACATCATTTATGATGATAAGAATTGTTGAAATCCAAAGAAATCTTCTGAAAAATAGGACAAATTTATAAACCAAAATTTTCCATATCACTAAATAGGAGAAAATTCTTGCAAAAGTTTTCCAAAGAAGAGTTACCGTCTTCCAAGTTACCTTGATGATGGCTTTTTTGAACACCATCCATGCTTACGAGAATAAGCACAGTCGTTGGATCAGTAAAAAGGAAACAGTTGAGACTTCAGTCTTGAAGTCTTTGAGCTATTACTGTTAATATAATATCTAGTGCAAAAACAACAGGAAAAATGTTGACACTTGTGTCTCTCTTCAACGTTTTTCCCTTTCGAATCATGTTTAACTTATTTTTATTGCATATCCATAAACGAAACGATGCAAAAACAAAGAAAAGCAGCGTTAACAAGGAGTATTCGCTTTTCCTGTGAATTATAGCATAACATCGAAATTCTTATATCTTTTCGATAAACACGTTTTAAAGGAAATATCTTTCCATTAGTCGATAAGAAATGTTGTCCTCTTTTGAACTTTATGTTATTTATATTTGTCCTACATTCATAAATAAAATGCAGCTGAAATAAAAGAAAACATTCGAAGAATAAATTTTTGATTTTTATATAAATTTGTCAAGAGCACAGTTTAATACGACAGTTAATTAGAATCAACTGCCATGTTACACTATGTTTTTGGCAAGTATATTGTGTGGGTGTTGTTCTTTTTCCTTGTCTTATTTTATTTCCAAATGTAGGACAAATATATATAACATAAAGATCAACATAGGAGAAAATTTCTTATCGACTGATGAAAAATTTTTTCTTTCAAAACATGTTTATCAAAAAGATATATGGATCAAAATGTTTCGTTCCTTTTTGTTAGATCTCAGAGAATGTATGGATTTATTTTAAGGATACTTGTCTTTCCTGTAATATAATTTTGTTCATGAACAGATGATAAAAATAAGTTCTATATAATTCGAAAGAGGGAAAATATTCTTTCTTCATGTGAAAAGGTTTTCTTTCAGCACCTTTCTATTGAAGAGACATAGGAGTCAACATCTGTCCCACTACTTTTCTATCAGATTTTATGTTAAAGTCTTAATAGCAAGTTTCCACGAACATAATTCAAACACCCATCATGATCCAGTAAAGCTTTTTTTAAGAGCACATCACTGTATTTAAAATAATCTCAATATTATACATGAAGAACTGAAATATGAAGAACAAGCAAAAAAAAAAACAATGATTTTTATTTTTTTTTTCAATTATTTTGATATATGAATGGATAAAATCAAACTATGAAACTATACAACTTTATACACCAAGTAAAAACAACGTCTTAGAGATAACCAATAAAGCAATTAAGCGTGATGGGACACTTTGAGAACGTCGTATTTTATACAATAGAATCAAATAGTGTCAATAAATGGTCAATTGAGTTAGATTCTTCCTCTGTTAGAACAAAACAATTTGATGTAGAAATTCTGAAAAAAAAACACAATATATAATAGCTCGAGATTTACAACCTATTGCACGCATCGATTGGAATTAATCTAAAAATAAGTAGTGGATAACTGTTAATCAAGTCGAACATGTCATTTGATCTTAGGTGTATGACAATGTGGAATGATTTACATTGGAAAAAGCTAAAATGTAACTTTCCAGTTTTTTTCTAAGAATTATACATGTAAACAGGTTTCTTCTGCTTCATTTTTCTTGTACTAAATCAAACTTTATATGAATAAAACATTTTTACTGATACTTATATATGAAACATTGAACATCTTATAAACAATAACTAAGCCAATAGTGTTGTTGCACCGATGCATTCTGAATATCGCTTACTCTTGGTTACCGGTAGGATCAGAATGAGAAAATTTGTTCGGTTGAAATTGATTAAAATTTCGAAACCTTATGATTACAAGCAAAATCACAAGGCCAGTTATTCTGTAACAAAAACAAAGTTAAAGCGAATTAACAGTGATTTTATTTCAAAAATTATAATATGATTACAATCTGTCGAAAAAGCCAATTTTAATCGTTTTTATTTATGGTTTTAATTATAATTGATTATAAATCAAATATAATCGACAGAAAAAATTGACTTTCATAGATGTTCATTTTAACTTTGATCTACATGATTTTGAAAAAACCTACTAAAAATGACTTGTGCACTGATGGTAACTTAGATGGACACGGTTGTTGGTCAAATAGTTTACAGTATTAGTAGAACTAAATGAGTTACATTTACTGTACAATTTTGAGCTCCATATACCCTGTTGACGAAGGCTTGTAGTGAAAATAGGAAAAAAATTGGTTAGTATAGTTCCTAGAAGGACCACTGTTTTTCATGTTTCATACGATGAAAAACATTACGTCATATGTAGTTGGATACAGCGTAGAATGCTGTACATTTCTATCCGTCTTTGAATATTTTCTAATACTCGTTGAAATACTTTAAAAAGCACTTATTATCGAAATTTCGACTATTTTACAAAAAGTGAATTTCGGCAATGTGATCGCATCTCCATAGACGCATATTTTCTTCGAAGAGAGTTACACCTATATCAAGATCAAAGGATTAATAGCAATGACCGACTTTCCGCTAGAAAAAAAAGAGAGAATTCTTCTTATTCGAAGTAGATACCTGCCAAATTGAGACAGGTTTAGGTCTTGATATCTATCAATAGACAGATCAATGTATACAATTACTATAGTAATGAATTATTTAGTACACGACACACAAGAATTCAAGTAGTTAGAATATGTTGCATGGAATATTGGCATATAACGAATAAACTTATTATTGATTATAATCTATTATAGGTACCTAATAACATAGTCATAATAAAATGAAGCAGTTATAATCGACTGTAATCAATAATAATTGTCGCATTACAGAATATAATTACTTTCCTACTGTACTATTGAAAAATAAGCGATTATTGGATACTATTTTTTGTATGGAATCTACATTTTACCTTTGATTCACAGTATGATCGATACTTAATTTCATTAAATTGCATGCGCTAACATACTCGACTAGTGTCTTCAGTATTACAACTGAAGTTTAGTAAGCAGACATGTATCATTTGAAAGTTTACCTTTATATTTTAGACAGGTAATAAGCATAAAAAAGTACTATTCAAATAATTACATTATCATTTGTTATTTCAAACAAAATAATGTTACTTGAGAGTATATTGACGTAGCGCTGAATTATTCACTAATCATTACTGAACTAGTCAATATTCTGATGGATAATCAACGATCATTGACAATAAGCGAATATATTCCACCAAAAAATGATCGACAAGGATTGTGTATAGCTCTAACGATATTTATTTTATTCATCATTTTCTGGTATCATGCTCTCTTTCAAATCAATTTAATGGATATGAAACATCGATCTCCTTGGTGGGATATTATTGGAACTTTTCTCATTTTGGAATTTCTCTATACAGGATTGTTTATCACTTGTCATGATGCTATGCATGGAGCAATCATCTATCGAGTAAGTGATGATAATAGAAAATGATTAAACTTTGAATCCATGATGATTGAAGTAAGTTAGTTAGTAGTCAAGATATGAGATTGATCATTATTGATTTTCAAATTATTTTTCTTCGATCAACGTTGACAAATCTTATTTTTTTTAGCATCGAAAATTGAATAATGCTATTGGTAAGTTNTTAGTAGAATAATAACACAAATTATGAATGCAACACGTGGTCGAGCTATTTTGATTTTATACCATCGACTTCTTAATAAACAAGCTCGATCAAGCTCAACAAAAGTAAGAAACATGGCTGATGTATGTAAAGTATAAAAAGGAAAAAATTGACTTAATTTGCAGATGAATAATGATTGACCCCATATTTGTCTCTGACCATCTGTAAATGTATATATAATATTACTTAAATTCCATTGATAAAGTGAAATTGTATCAACAAGACATAAAAATACCAAATAGATATTAGTTGATGTTCGACGATTTTCTTTATTGAGTAAAACAATAATAGATATAATATTGCCAACAGTACCAATCACAATAAGAACAATAGGAACAATACCACTTATGATTAACTCAGCCGTTTCGTAAGGGACTGAATCTTTTTTTCGATGCCATGAAGTCATTTGATGCTCACTAGTATATATAATATATAATATGTGTTACAACAGATTCGTGTAATGAATGAAGTTGTAATAGACATATTTTTTTTTATCACTTTCTCTAGGTTTGTTTTCACGGTCATAGTGTTCTTGAGTTTTTCTACTCATTTTATCTTTTCTATTACAAAAAAAGAAATAGAAAAAAAAAGAAACGCTTATTATCTTAATCAGATAAATATGTCAAATTGTATTTCATTCATAGTATATAGCTTTTGGAACATAATTAATGATGATAGAATTTGCTAAAATCCGAAATCTTTTGAAAAAGATGAAAAATTTATAAATCAAACTTTTCCACATTACTAAATTAGGAGAAAATTCTTGAAAAATAGTTACACTCTTTCAAGCTCTTCTGGTTGCGGCGCCTTTGAACGTCATTAGTATTTACGAGAATAATCAGAATTGTCAGATCAACATAAGTATTAGGGAGATGATAAAATGTCTGTATTAAGATTGACAAAATAAGTTGATGCTTTTATATTAGTAGTAAATTAGTATGATCATAATGCAAAGACTCATCATGATTCAGCAAAACTTCTTGAGGACAGATAAAGTCGATTTTGATATAAATTTCTGTTTATTCAAATATTTTGCCCACTAGTTCAAGATTGACAACCAGTTACACGAGTCGATTTAAATTTATATAAAAATAAATTTGATGTATGGAAATAGAGAATCATTCAATTGGATTTTCACTCATTGTTGAAATTTCTATATATAGTGTTTTCTTGTACTAAAATAATCTTTATGTGAATAAAACTTTTTTTTTTTCTGCTGATAAAATCTTTAATTTTTTACTGATACTTATACGTAAAAAGTTGACAAACTTATAAACAATAACTAAGACAATAGTGCTGTTTCATCGATGATAAGTCTTGAATATAGCTTTCTCTTGGTTAAGAGACGATCCAAGTAAAAAAAAAAATTGTTCGATTAAAATTGATTAAAGTCTTGAAAATTTATGATTATAAACAAAATAAAAAAGCTGATTATTCTGTAAGAAAGACAAAGTTAAAATCAATTAAAAGTTGATTGTTTTCAAAATATATAATCAACTTGCAATTGATTATAATCTGATTACAATCTGCCAAAAACAAAACAGTAATTTTAATCGTTTTTAATTATGTTTTTTTTTTCAGACCAATGGGATTTAAGGTTTTAACTATAATTGATGATGAATTAAATACAATTGATAGAAAAACTTGACTTTGATCGATGTTAATTTTAATTTTGATCTACATGATTTTGATAAAAACGACTGAAAATGACTTGTAGATTGATGATAAATTAAAAGGACACACTTGTTTTTCAAAATTTATCCAAATTTAATAAAATTTGGGCTACTAATAGAACTAAATGAGATATGTTTACCATAAAATTTCGAGCTTCATATATTCTGTTGAAGAAGACTTATAGTGAAAATAAAATAAAAAATTGTATAGTGCAATTCCTAGAAGAACCATTGTTTTTCAGATTCCATAATATGACAAACATGGTATCATATGTAGTTAGATAGAATGTCGAATACTCTACATTTCTATTCTTCTTTGAATATTTTCTGATATTCGTTGAAATTCTTTAGAAATACGAGAAAAGTGAAGCGTTTTATCTCTTTTTTTTCTAATTTCGGTTTTTTCACAACGAGTGAATTTTAGTAATGTCATCATATCTACAGAAATGAACATTGTAGCAATAGCAAACATTCATAAAAACTGTGTTAATCTGGACTACTATTACTACAAATTTGAACAGAAACAATTTTGTTCGAAGAGAGATGCGCCTATGCTAGTGTCAAAGAGTTACTGACAATTATATACCTTTTGCTTGAAAAAAAGAAAAAGAAAATTTCTTATTTCAAGTGGATATCTACTAAAGTGAGACTAGATTTTAGGTCCTGATCTTTATCAAGAAACAGACCAATGTTGTAATTACTGTAATAATCAAATTCGTATATTAAAAATCTCATAACATATTTTATTCTATATTCTTCTTAAGAATGACTATATTTTTGTATGTTATTCTAGTCAAGTAGAACCTCATTATAGAACAGCTATTTTATAACATAAATTACATTTGTAAGACTTAGTTGTGTCGACACTGAGATCGCCTCCCACTGATTTCCTGTTCCTCTTTCCTCTTTACCATTACTCTCTCTTCTATATAAGCGTGTCTTTTATGTGGAATAACTTAATAAACATCATTATGAAGGAAGGCGGAAAGCCACTCCTCTAGTTCTTTATTACAATAGCATCTTTTTAATTTATATAATTAAATTATATTTTTCTTTTTGGTGAATTGTACCGAGTTGCTGAAATGCAAAATGAGTCTTATCTTTATAAATGATATTAGAAAAAAGTTATATAAGACAAATTCGAATTTTCACGGCTGTGATGTATTGCTATTCTTCATCATGTATGCCAGGTACATTTATAGATAGATTAGTAGAAATATAAGTAACAAGCGATAAAAGTAATATCAATAAATTCAGGCTTTTTCTTTCATCATTATGACAACATCTTAGAGAGAGTGACGAACGATAAAAGTCTGAGTTCTACATAAAGATTTCAAAGATATTATAACAGATAAATGTTTTTTGTTACACATTACTTTTCTTGTTCTTTTCAATCTTGTCAATATGTACGAATAATGCTGTTTCTCTCCAGAAATATTCAACTTCATCATAGATTTCATTCGTTCTTTACTGTGATTTCACACTTTTCTCTTATCATGACTCAGTTAATTCTTGGGTGTCGAGTCTGTGTCGGTATGGGTGTGTTGTTTGACGTAAACTACTCTTACACCCTTCCTTTGCGGACACATCCGCGTCATACATATAATCGGAACAACAATACTGACGATGATTTTCTAACAGAAAGGAAATAATTGTCAGTAGTTTTTTTTATCTTGGCTCAGGCATATTTCTCTTGGGACGTATTTGTTTATCTTTAAATTTGTAGCAATGATGTGATTAAAAAAAAGAGAGCTTCACTTTTCTCGTATTTCTAAAGTATTTGAATAAGTATCAGAAAATATACAAAACAATGATAGAAATGAATGTAGAGCATTCACCATTCTATCCAACTATACATGCTTTTTTGAAAAGAACACATCTAGACTAAGAGTATATATATCAATTTGCCAAGTTTTACAAAAATATCATTGGTAGTGTTTATGATAAATATATTACTAACCTAAATGCTTGATACGATAGTCATAATCTCTGTTGTATTTTTGTTTTCTGAATTTGGATCGTACGCGATAGCGAATAGACTTCAAGTGAAGAGAATTGTCTATTACATAAACTAGTCTAGTGTAAATGAACTATGGCTATGTTGCACAGATTTCAAATGGATGAACCATAAGCCTTGTTCATGTGCGCATAAGAAACGATTTATTATTTGGTGATTTACTACTTTCATAATACGATTGAGATTCATGAAAAGTCAAGTCATTTCGTTCATATCATTTACATTTTACATCATTATTTGTTAAGATGATGTAATTTTGACATTTTATAAACAAAACCTCTAAAGCAAGCCTACAAAAAAAAATGGTGATGGTAGTGTGTTCCCTACACCTCGTAAATGTCACATCCCTGGCTTCAAGTCAGATGATTTTACTTAACACTTGAATCAAGTATGATTTCAAAAACATTTTCAACCCCAGTAAACACTGCATGCCCATTATAAGGCGTACGACACACCAGAATTCAAATAGTTGGAATATGTTGCATACAGTATTGGCATATAGCGAATAAACTTATTGATTACAGTCGATTATAGATACCTAATAACATAGTCATACTAAAATGCAGCAGTTATAATCGACTATAATCAATAATAATTGTCGCATTACAGAATATAATTACTTTCCTACTGTACTATTGAAAAATAAGCGATTATTCGATACTATTTTTGTATGGAATCTGGATTTTGCCTTTGATTCACAGTATGATCGATACTTAATTTCATTAAATTGCATATGCTAACATACTCGACTAGTGTCTTCAGCATTACAACTGAAGTTTAGTAAGCAGACACGTGTCATTTGAAAGTTTACCTTTATATCTTAGACAGGCAATAAGCAGAAAAAAGGTACTATTCAAATAATTACATTATCATTTGTTGTTTCAAACAAAATAATGTTACTTGAGAGTATATTGACGCAGTGTTGAATTATTCACTAACCACTACTGAATTAGTTAATATTCTGATGGATAATCAACGATTATTGGTAACAAGTGAATATATTCCACCGAAAAATGATCAACAAGGATTGTGTATAGCTCTAACGATATTTATTTTATTCGTCATTTTTTGGTATCATGCTCTCTTTCAAATCAATTTAATGGATATAGAACATCGATCTCCTTGGTGGGATATTATTGGAACTTTTCTCATTTTGGAATTTCTCTATACAGGATTGTTTATCACTTGTCATGATGCTATGCATGGAGCAATCATCTATCAAGTAAGTGATGATAATAGAAAATGATTAAACTTTGAATCCATGATGATTGAAGTAAGTTAGTTAGTAGTCAAGATATGAGATTGATCATGATTGATTTTCAAATTATTTTTCTTCGATCAACGTTGACAAATCTTATTTTTTTTTTTAGCATCGAAAATTGAATAATGCTATTGGTAAGTTATGTATAACTGCCTATGCTTGGTTTGATTATCAACGATTGTATGAAAAACATTGGCGTCATCACAATCATACAGGTATTGTCGATCATGATCCAGATTATCATGATGGTCAACGAATATCGCTTTTTTTCTGGTATTTCAAATTTATGTGGGGATATAGTTCTCTTCTTCAACTTACTAAAGTTGGTCTATGGGGTAATTTTCTAATGTATATATGTTCAGTACAATTTATCAATATCATCATATACATGTTAATATGTCCTATATGCAGTTCATTTCGTCTTTTCTACTTTGGTACTTATTTACCACACAGACCAGAAGTTATTAATAGTCGAATGGTAGAAAAAATGCCTTGGGAAAAATCACGTTCATCAAATGTGAATCGTCTTGTGAGCTTCTTATGTTGCTATCATTTTGATTATCATTGGGAACATCATCGATGGCCATATGCACCATGGTGGAACTTATGGAAATGTAAAGAAATTCAACAAAGAATGAAAAAATCATCTTGAATGTAAACAGTGATGTGTATTTCCGTTCAAAAGAAAATGAATGATCATCTCGCATACAGTCCAAACCATCATCAGTATTTATTTCACATAGTTTTAGCATTTCTTTGAAAGACAATTTCTTTGTAATAAGTTTGTTTTTAAATAAAACTGAGCGTAATACTTTTCTCGACATAACTTTTTGTTCCGCCAAATGTCCATGTTCACTTTTCTTCAAAGTTTCACTCCAGTAAATCGAATTTGAGCGTCGAAACATACAGTAGCATTTATACCCGAAATAGCTTCCGCTTAAATGAAGGAGAGATTATTATTTTTCTTTTTCTCACATACAACTGTTGTCTCTTTTTAAAATAGCATGAATGACACTGCTTAATTTCGCTGTTACGGCTGTCATATCTATTCCGTTTTGTCTGATGTTGAAATCAGATCAACTTTGTAGACTAGCTAAGTTAATACATTTCTTTTGGCATCAAAGAATATGAAGTGTTGATATGGGTGTCAAGTTTCTTTTCGTGCACACCTACATCCACACACCTATCCGCACACACAAATCGACGCTTCACACCTAGGCCGACGCACACTCAATTGGCCAACTACAAGTTGAATGAGAAGTGATCATGAAAAATGCACATATTCTAAACGTTTATCTCCATCATTTAGTATTCTTGATCATTCAATTGATAACATCGAACATATGGTATACGACCAGTTCTTGATCAAGAATTAGTTCATGTTCACAAAATTTCCTTGTTGTCAATGGTGATTTTCACCGATTCCAATATTGCCGAATTAATTCGTAATGGAAAACTAGTTTGGATCAAATATGAACCACTGTACACATAACATTTCAATATTATAATTCAGTTTATGAATAAATTGACCGGTTGCCATTTAAGTTAGTAACCATATGTGTTGATAGGATATGCCTATGGATATCGGTGTCAGTATGAAGAAGAAAATATCTACACATAGATCCATACCCACACTCTACACTCAAACCCGCATCCAACCCCAAAATGATTTATTTTGATTTTTTCCTTGTTCATTTAGGTATTACCGCGGTTTTTAATTATATTACGAGAGAAACAAGATAAATTATTTTATTTAACTTTTCTTTTGCTTCGTATAGTTATCTGGAGAGTTGCCACGCATTTTACGCAACAAAACTAAAGAATTACTTAAGTTTTCTTTTCCTATAATACTTATGGTAATAGCTTTCCTACATTAGACGATAAATTGAGGAAGTTAGCTTAGTTTACTTTTCTCTTTCTTCATTTAGTTTTTCTTATCGCTAGCACTCACTTTGTACGGGAAATAGAATCAGAAAAATAACTTTACTTTTCTTTTCTTCAATTAGTTATTCCGAACTGTCGAGCGTCTTATGAGAAAAAAACGAGCAGCGTAGTGTAGTTTTATTTTTTCTATCTTCATTCAGTTATCGTAACGGCTGTCGCGCTTTTATAATAGAAATGCAATAAAAAAATTAAAGCTAGTTTGATTTTTTTTTCATTTGATGATCTGATAGCTTTCAAACACTTTATGGAAAAAATGTTACAGATTATTCAAGTTCAATTTTATTTTTCTTCATTTAGTTTTTCGATTGCTGGTGCACACTTTACGAGAAAAATCGAAATAAGAAACTACTTTTACTTTTCTTCTCTTCATTTACCTATTCTGATAACTGTCTCACATCTCATAAGAAAAACCGAATAGCTAAATTTAGTTTAATTTTTTCTGTCTTCATTTAGTTACCGTAACAGTTTCCCACCATCTTTGGAGAAGAATAGATTAACTTATTTTGCTCTAAATTTTTTCGTCTTGATTTATTTCTGCTGATAGTCATGGAGCGTTTTATGACTGAAAAGAAAGAATATTATTCGCTCTATTTCTTTTGCTTCTTGTCATTTAGATGTTTTAATATTTTTTGAAACATGTTGTGAGATGAGTAGAATGAAACGGTTCAGTTTCGTTGTGCTTTCCACGCAGTCTTATGTGTTACTGCGCTCGAGTAACGATTGTGTACTATGAGATTTTCAACTGTTTTGATAATTTAAGGATCGTTTTGATAATCCTTTCGTAAACGTTTTGTAGTTCACAACATTTTACCGCCTTTGAAGCTCTCTTTAGGTTAAGAGACCGCTTTAAATGCTTCTATATCGGGCTTCACATACTTTTTCACATTTTCTTGGTAAGAATTCTAATGCTTATGAACACTCTCAGATACGCATTTGATAATTGTTTTTAAAATTATTTGAAAACGGTTACCAAGTTTATGCATCCTGACGAAGAGTTTATGAAAGTGCAACTTATAACAAACCCTTTAAGGATTTATGAATATTATAAATTCTCTATATATCTTCCACAAGTGATACTCGAAGATCATAAACCTTTTCATATACCCTTTCTAAAGGGTTTATGAATGGAGTTGCGATAACTTCATAAACGATAAAAACGAGTTTTTTATACGTCGTACTTGCATAAACCTTTTAAAGGTTTATTATTCTATGGATTTTTTTAACAGTATAGTGTATGAGTGAATGTAAATGTGGATGTGGATGCTCTAGAGGGTTTGGTGTGGGTGCAATAGGGGTGGGTGTCAAGTTCCGCTTCGTATACACTCACACTCACATTCACATCCTCAAGCGCACACTCTCATAAGGTAATATACTCAGTGATGCGAGAAACATGTTGAATTTGAACAGGATTCACGAAGTTATGGCGAAAGCAATGGGAAACCAAATTGATGTTGAAGATAAATATGGATTTATTAAGCAAATTGGCAAAGGAAGTTACGGCGAAGCATGGCTAGTGGTTCCATTAGACTGTATTGCTACAGGGAGGCGGGTAAGTGTAACTTGCGGGACTTGTTCATTTTAAGGGTCACGATGTCATTACTGACTAAGCTATCTGACAGCTTAACAATGTATTTAGTTAATGTGAATCCTCTGTAATACTTTCTTAACACGTTGTTTTTTCTATGCATATCTAGTATGTCTTAAAGCAGTTAAATCTTCAATTCACACCTGTAGATGCGCAAGAAGCAGCTGAGCGGGAAGCAAAATTACTGTCAACCTTGAAACATCCGAATATTGTTACTTGTGTTGAATCGTTTCGCTCCTCGGATTCGTGTCTAAATATCGTGATGCAGTATTGTCAAGGTGGTGATCTCTATGCAACACTAAGAAACAAGAAGTTCCAAAACCAGATACTTGAGGAAGAAAAAGTTATTGAATGGTTTATTCAAATATGCATGGCTCTGGATTATTTACACCAGCGACATATATTGCATAGAGATTTAAAAACGCAAAATATTTTCTTAACCAAACACGAAATTATTAAAGTCGGAGACTTCGGTATTAGCAGGTGAGCAATATGCAATTGATATAAATTGATATGTGCTATTAGTGGTAACTGCGATTAATACGACTTTTTAAAATGAATAGGCTCATAAACGAGATTATGAATCTCAGAGAATTTAGTAGCAAGTTTCATTTGATTTCCATGTAAAACAACATGTTTTTTGCTTTTACCCAGAGTACTCGGTGATGCCGACGACTTGGCAACAACTATAATTGGCACTCCGTATTATATGAGCCCCGAAATTTTTACACATAAACCATACGATCAAAAAGTAAGTTTCGATAACTCTGAAGAGTCGGTACACTATGCATCGTGAATTTCGATAATTTTTATGGTTCTAGTCCGATATGTGGTCATTAGGTTGTTGTCTGTATGAAATGATTCATCTCGAGCATGCATTCCATGCTACAGATATAAACAGTCTTGTTATAAAGATAGTACGAGGACAGGTAAGCCCACTAGACTGATAAATTTACTTGAACTCGCTCAATCTCGGACTTCTAACTCTTCACACTCTAGACACCGGAGGTATGTGGAAATTACAGTAATGAATTGAAAGAAATTCTGAAGGCAATGCTCTCAAAAGACCCACATGAAAGACCAACGACTAAAAACGTTTTACAAAACAAATATATTAGACATCACAGTGTGCGAATGATGGAAGATATTAAACTAAGGTAATCATTGCTAACTTTACATCAGTATATTTGACGAAAAACCAGTCGGAGAAACGACAAGTTTCAATATCTGATTGTTTAATAGAATTAAAAAAAAACAGCAAAATCGACGAAAGCCCTCACCATTCCCGGAAGAGCCGGAGTTCAGATCTCTGTCACCAATCAATAACATGACTATAACCAACATGGTAGATTCGCGTATGAATGAATCACGCGCACGCCGACGACAAAAAATTGCTGCCCATCAACGGTTAACATGTCATACTTTGCTGCATCCTACTAATGAAGTTATCGCTGATGCTAAAGATGTACCGTCGAACACAGAAGAATTTGAGACATGGGAACGATGTCCAGTTGAAAAACTAATGTACTACATTGAGCAAAGTGAAAAAGAGGATGACGAAGATCCTCACAACACTCAAATAAAAACAGAGATGACTGGATCTCTACATTCACCTCCTGATATAACCAAGACGTATGCGAAGCAAGAAGTAGCAAGCGCAGTGGTAAGCTAAACAGAGATCATGCACGGATATGTTGTAAATTTGATGCACTGCTAGTGGTTCGAAGTAGGTTCATTTGTTTTCTTCCATTGTACACATTGACATTTGTGAGAGTTGATTTTCTCTTTCAATTGTTCGATTGTCTACGAAAATATGTGGGATTAGGGTCGTGAAACTCAATTTTCAGGTCCAATATAGAGTAAATACTTGAAAACTTGAGACTTCCAAGGTAAATTGAAGTTTAAAATATTTGAGGAATTCTAAAACACCGAGTTAAACGATATACGATAAGTCATATTAGCTGTGACAAAACAGCATAAAAAATAAGATCTTCAAGAGTTGTCTCTGAACTTTAAATAGTAGACCTATCAAATGAGAATTGGGAAGAGGAGGCAAAAAGAATTTCGAGAAAGGAAGTCACACTAAGTTTTGGGATGACTCAAATAATTTACTCGTGAGACTCAGCCGGAAGAAAAAAAGCATTTGATGTCAAGTTTTCAGAAGTTGGGATGACTCCACTGTCTTGCACTTCTCCTCCCTTCCAGCTCGTAGCAATCCTTTTTCCATTTCATCTGGTGAGAACTAATGGGTGGTCGGTATATTTATGATGTACACTTGTAAATCGAAAATGCTAAAATTGACTTTACACTGAAGCAGAAACTATGTACTTGGAAATACTTAGTACAATTAGCAATGATAGGAACGTGCGCACAATTTAAAATAAATAGTATTGTTGAGAAATCTTTCACTGTTGCACCCACGAACCACTCCAAACACGGTTTTTATTCAGACCTATTTTGTTTTAGCAAGATCGACCAGCAACAGGAGTAACTATAAAAGAATCTGATGAAGAGCAAAATAAAATGCATTGTCGCTATTTTGATATTGGCACTTTACCAAAACAAACTTTATTGCCTATTACAGGATATAATAAGACTCCATTGATGTCTCTTGAAGATGCTATACAATCTGTACATCACCTTATTGATAATATCGATGTAAAAGTCAAGGTAGCTAAGCAGAATGCACAGCAACGGCATGGACGCATGTTGTCAGTCGAAGAATCAGCTGCCATACAGTTGTATACGATGGAGGCGTTTCCTCTTGATCGTTGTCTGTATTATATTCTCAATAAAACTTTACGTTCAGCTAATCGACGAGATTTAATTCCATGGTTTCCGTATTTAAAACTTTTGATGACGGCATTATGGAAACTGCCACCTGTCCGACGTACAGTTTGGCGTGGAATAAAAAATGTCAATCTCAGTGAGCAGTATCAAGAAGGACAACACTACACCTGGTGGAATCTCAGTTCCTGTACAGAAACGTTAACGGTGATGCAAACACCTCAGTTTCTGGGAACTGAAGGTCTTCGAACATTATTCAGTATTGAATGTGAAAATGGGAAAGAAATCAAGGAATATTCCTACCTCGAATATGAAAATGAAATATTATTGCCACCAGCTTTGTATTTCGAAGTTTTGGGAAAATTGAATCCTGCACCTGATTTATATATTATACATATACGACAGATAGTTTCACCCTACGAATTAATTTGTCCACCATTTTAATAACAAACTCTTTATAACCTTCACTCAGACATTTATTTTTTCCATGAATGATTACTTTTGTCAAATATCAAATAATGAAAACTTTCTACTAATTTACATCATAGTTATTTGTATTATAATTTACTGGAGAAGAGAGTCGACGTGTGTATTTGTGAGTAATATTCTATTCAGTTACCAAGACAATCATTCCTTCCTCTACCCTCATTAAGAACACTACCGTTTCAAGATTGGAAAAAAGACGTTGTCTTTTCCGAGTCGTCTCTGCAATGAAACTCAACCTTTGAAGAATCTGAGCGGGAACTTTTCTTCGATATTACCGTTGTTGTGTGTTAAATGTATGTTGTTAATCGAACGTATTGAAAAATTGGCCACTATTTGCACAAAGTTGATGTGAGAAGAGAAAAATATAAAGGAATGATAAAGAATAATATTAATGAGTGAGACAGTTCGGAGAAAACAAAAGAAGACCCAACTTGTGAGATATTGTGTAGCATGGTAAGACGATGGGTGTGGATGTGGATTTGGGTATATATCATATATGTATGAGTCTTTTATTTCACTACATTGACACCCTCACTCGCATCTATAGCCTCCACTTGTTTTAGAAAAGAAATATTTCTGAAGAATTCGTGTGGATATTGTACGTTTATCAAAGATGAAGGGAACTGTTTCTTCGATTACATAAGAAAAATCTTATTTTCCTCAGAAAATATAACAGACACCGAGACGAATAAGAAAATCTCCATTCAGATTCGATTCAATTCGATTGGTATTTTTACAGAAAAACGATATTCTTCGCATTTATTACTTACTAGTTACTTAGTGTGATATTATTAATGTAGTCATACATACTCAAAGATCATTTATTTGTTTAAAAGAAAAAGTTCAATAGAAAATAGATCTAATACAATAAAATTACTCATGAAAGTTTGATACTCATGNTTTTTTTTCGTTTTTTCTTGCTTTTTCTCTTGTTGTTTCTTTCATCATCGTCTTCTTATCTCTTTTAATAAGTGTCCATCCATACGTACATATACATTAACGCGTCCGCGGTATTGTTTTTGTGTGCACGTGTCGTGTATTTGCTTATATTCAAGAAAGTCAGAAAAATAAAATCAACTTTAACTTTGGCCCTATTTTCCTGTTTCAAATGAGTACAGAAAACTTCCGTTTCTACATTAAAGTGCGTACTGCCCTTAATATTCAAGCAAGAATTATTCATGATGAACTGTATTCTGTTTATGGTGATCAAGCTCCTTCTCTCACAACAGTGAAAAGATGGTCCAAGCTGTTTCGTGAAGGTCGAGAAGAAATTGAAGATGAATCACGACCTGGTAGACCCATCACTGAAACAACATCCGAAAATATTGAAGAGATCCGCCTTCTTATCAATGATGATCCTTATCTTACAATAGAAGAGCTACAAGAGCAAACTGATTTAAGCTATGGTACGGTTCATCGAATCCTCACCGATCATTTAAACCTTAGAAAGGTCACCGCACGTTATATACCCAAAGATCTTACCGATTTTCAACGGGCTGAACGAGTTCGAATATGTAAAGAAAACTTAGCAAAATTTCAACAAGGAACATGGCGATTATGTGATATAATAACTGGTGACGAATCGTGGTTTTATCATAAACAAATTGGTCGAAAGTCGTCAAATGCAGCGTGGGTGAGAAGAGGAGATCCTCCACCTACTGTAGTTCGACAAAGTAAGTATGCTTCAAAGACCTTATTATCCATCTTTTTTAAGTCAAATGGTCCTGTTTTCATTCATCATTTGGAACGGGGACAAACAATCGATCACCAGTATTACATCAACAATTGTTTACGGCCTCTTGTCGATGAAATCAAACGTCAAAGACCCTCATATGGGACGCGTGGTATTAAAATTCACTACGATAATGCAAGACCACATGTTCACGAAGATGTGTCTAGTTATCTTGAATCGGAACGTCTCACAATAATACCACATCCACCTAATTCTCCAGATTTATCACCATGTGACTTTTGGTTATTCGACTTAATCAAACGAAATCTGACCGATCAAAGTGATTCACAATCATTATATGATGCTGTGGTCAATTTCATGTATTCTTTGAGTAATGAAGAATATAAAAAAACATTTGAAAAATGGTTTGAAAGAATGCAATTGTGTATAGATAACCAAGGTGATTATTTCGAACATTTGATGAAATAAACAATTGATAAACTTATCCTTGTATTTTGTTTTGTTCTATCATTATTACTCTTTGTCCATTGTGAAATATATGGACAGTCAGNTCCAAATATAATATTTTTTTAGTAAGAAATGTTTATAGAAGCATTGTTTTCTTCACATTTATTATGTTCATGAAGTAATTTGGATGTCAACTGTACTATGCCAATGAAGATGCAGATTAAATCATATGGAATTATGAGGATATTTCATCAGCAGCAGGTGAAGAATACAATTCTTCAGTGATAACGCAAATTTTTTTTTAAATGTACATGTAAAAAGAGTTTTTGTAATCAAAGTATATTGTTTGAAAAATAATTTTGAAAAAAAAAATGAAGATACTGACATCATATATTTTATTTATCAGAAAAAAAAACATGATAAGTCTTGTTCTAATTTTAGAAATCTTCGTTGTCGAATATTATTACTCGTGGATTTCTTTTTGCATAGAGTAATTAGTTCACTCTTGCCGCCATTCAAAGTCAATTGTATTCGAATAAAACAATCGATCAAGAATCTTGAGTTTATCACATGGTTATGGGCCCTGATTGTTGATTGTTTTGTTTATTAGCATCTGTGTACACCGTACAGGACACAGAGTGGAAAGGATAACATATTTCTCACTATATACTACCATGTTCATAAATAATCATATTTCGCAAAAATAATCTGAGAAAATGTTCTCTTTTTTTGACGAATATTTGTTGTTTTGCCTCTGAATATTCATTGAAACAGTGAAATTAATCATTGATATAAAGATCTTGAATTCATAATGAAGTATTTATCATGAAAGCTATCTTCAACAATTGATTTATTCTGTCTAAATAAGTGTTCGAGTTATTCTAACAACTCTCAATGTTATCTTGAAATTGCTCGATTGTTGACGCGACAACTTTCTTCGTCTTTTTATTTTTATCTTAAATCAGCAGTTGATTATTATCATTTGCCACATGCAAAATAGAACAAGAACAGTTAATTTTTATCGCAATTTTGTTATATTTCTGCATCTCGATTTTGGTCGTTTTCGTGTGATAAGGGTGTGGGTATGATATGAGTGTTAAGACATTCCAAGCAACAACCACGCCCACCATCGTATATTCAAAATGTAGCTATTTCGAATTCAATACAAGTTTATTTAGAAGAGAGATGATACCAAAAAAAAAAATAACTAGAGAAAGAATGAAAAGGAAAGAGGAAGTAAGGATATTAGTCAGATGATGATATTAATATCGGCAAAATATCTTTAGTTGCATATCATTTCGTTTGGAATAGATTTAAATGAAAAATGTCAGCTTAATTTTGAGAATCTTTCAATAGTAATGGAGGTTTTTCATAATAGCCCATTTTCTGTTTCTTTTCATCATAATAACCAATACTATCTGATGTTTTATTCGTGAGCATATCACGACATTGATTAAGTTCGTCAATGGCCATGGAGAGACGCTCAATGATCTGATCATGTGTTGGCCATTCATGACTACCTATAGCAAGATTGAACATTTGAGCATTGGCACGCCACATCTTATGAATGGCATATTCCAATGCAGCCGTTTTCTCCTGACGAAAAGTATCGTAGCGCGTGTATTCAGTAGTAAACGGATTTGTCGACATGAATGAATTGACCACTGTGATACGTGGCTCCGAACAAGAACGAATGCCTGTCACTCGATGCACTATACGACTACCTAAAGAATACTTGAAATTTTAAATAAAATACATTTGTAGTTTTTTCGTTTACCTTGCATCAATACGCACGAATTTTGACCAAAATAATCGATTGTTCGAATAAATTCGTTCGGTACTTGACCTTTGTATTGTTCAATGAGATTAAAAGCATCCTTGGAATCACGTTCGATAAGTTGCAATTCACCACCGACTGTATTGCTCATATCACAAGCCAATAGGATGACAACGTAAGGTACACTGTCACAATGGTACGCATCTATATTGTCACCACCTGCATAACCAACATTGGTATGACTATAGCTTGACTGAAGAGCTGTCGGCAGAAGTTGTACATCACCAGTGATGTCTGATAAATGCTTGAGTATGCGCGGACATCGATTAAAATCTTGTATCCATTTACTACGATAGCTACTATGCCGAATCATAGCTGGGTGACGTTCATCATATGTTTGATGTACCATTTCTCGCTCAAGAATCATACGTAATACTCGATAGCCTTCATCACTTAACAATCGAAATGGACCACTATAGGCCAATTGGCTATCACCATTAGATGCTACAGCTTGAGAAAGTTGTGGCGCTTTTGGTACATGTTGAAAGCCGTCAAGTAATACAACGAAATCCGGCTCGGTCATTGCCAAATGAATATCAGGATCAAAAGTGGGTTCATCAGTATAAAGCTCCATTTCTGGATCAGTTAGAAGAGGAGGTATAGGGGCAGCCCAATTCTTGTTACACTTCATAGTTGCTGGAAAATCAAAAATTTTCAATTGTTTCTTCCTAGCAAATATAAATGAAATATATCTTAATGTCTCACAATAAAATTATTTAACTAGAGCGAACTTGATTACACAAAAGATAAGATAAAACAGTATAGATAAAGAGTGGGTGAAAATAAATAAGTCTCCTTATATTTTATTAAAAACTCTCTCAGTTTTCATTGTCTAAGTTTCAATTTGTTTTCAAAAGGTTCGCTATGAAATTCTCTCTAGATATAATATAAAACAGCTGCTTGAAACTTTGCAAAAAAAAACCAAAAGACTAATAATATTGTGAATCCTTACTTCATCAACTTTCAAATACATAAAACAGTCTTTTTCGAGTTTTATTCATTCGCAGTTACAAACAATGAAGGGTGTGGGTGTATACAAAGATTCATATTCATTCTTGGTTCTTCCTTCATCTCATCTTTTTTTTTATGTTTTTTGCATGAGTATATGAAAGAATAAACCACAAACAACCCAAAAGAACTTTTTTGAGTAATTATCTATACAAAATTATGATTCTACTTTGTTTAAAACTGTGAAAGATACATCGAAGATAGTGATAATTAGTATTGGATTATTTTCAGATTGTTGAATACGAACCATTTGAACCAAAACAGGACATATTCAAATTTCATGGAATTTTGATTTTTTTACAAGGATTATTTTTCTAAAAAAAAGTTCTTTTAGAATAAATAAATCTAAAAATATTGTCTCTTTCAGCTTATTATTAATTAAGAAGTAATTTGCAAATATCTCTCGAATCATAAAAGAAACGATCCGAAAGCTTCAAGATAGATCCTATAAGGCATCAACTGCACATCTATAATAAAATTTTTAGCAAGATCTGATTCAAAAAATCCTTCTCTTAAAAGCCGATAATCGAGAGATGCTGTCAAGTCTCGAAGCAAACTTTTTTCATAGTTTGTCACATCACTAATGAAAAGTAAATCGATTTTTTCAAAACTCGAAGCATATTCAAGAAAAAAACTTTGGATAGAGATTAAATAGTCTCAAGAGTTGTGTATAGAATGTAATATTTAGTTTTCAAAAATATTATCTCAATTGAAAGAATGATTTAGCCCATATATAGTTTTAGTTCATGACAAACATCTCAATTCGAATAATGACAGCTCTGATGTTTTATCAATCAAAAGCGTCAGAACTAATGAGAAATTTTTTTTTTTCAAACTTGTTATGTCAGTAATCAAAGCAAAACACATCGATCTAGCTTATTAAGTATTTATGTAAAATTGATAACTAATCCAAATTTAGTTAGAGAGTTTCCTACATTTTGATTTGATTTATTTATAATTGAATCTATCCGAATAATAACGAAGTTTTCCACGACATGAAAACACAAAGAACTATATATTTGATTAGTATTATTAGTAAATGACCTAGATATCACACTAACTTTATTCAACAATGGAACTGTTTTTGACTTCTAAATGTTCCTATATCATAGGTCAGAGAAACTCTTATCATTTTCAAATGATAATGCAATTGTGTAAAGGACATCAACAATTGTTTGTTTTTATTTAATATTTGCTGTTAATACATAACAACTAAGTTGTATTTCTTTTTCTAGTTTCAGTTCAAAATACATTGATACTAAGTAAAGTAGCGTGATCAAAATAAATCGTTAATTAAAAATAACAACTGCCTGTGGTCTTTTTGTTTTTGTTTCTCATCCAACCAATGCGTATTTCCCTCTCATCATTCAGTTGAAGTTGAAAAGGTTCCCATTTATATCGTTTTTCTTTTCATGATTATACTATCAAAGTTATTTTAACTGTGTACAACATATATAGTTTGAAACAGAACGATTCCTAGCAGGTTATTCTGATGAATAATAGAATTCATTATGCCTTAGGCTCATTGAAATGCTATTTCCATGTCTTCTTGATTCTTATTGATCAATAGTCGAGCCGATAATACAAAGAAAATGTCAAGTAAACATCGATTTCGTCGAGAATATTTTGGGATGTAAGGAAATTATGAAAGAAGTCTATGCCATTTGATTATTTACAAGAAGTATTTTTGTGAAAAATCAATTTCTGATTCAATCAAGTTGAATATATCTTTGATCATATTAGTTGAACGAACGATAAAATCAACTCAGTTATTTCATGAAACAATCATCAACAATTACGGATTGCTTTCAAGAATCAATTATCAGTTTCTTTGAAAAAGAAATATACAAAACTAAGCAAACAGAAAGTTAAGTGCGTGTTATTTAATACGTTTGTTATGATTGGCATTATAGAATTGCTACTTAATAGTTTTGGTTCTTCTGTATATTGCACGATAATTAATGTTAGATTGCAAGTCGAAAAATAAAAAGATTATATTTCCTATTGACATTCAATTTTCAATCATTGAATAGAAAGAAAACAAAAAAAAGAAAAGAAATTTCAAATATTTAATTAATGATAATAGTTCATTAAATTTGAAATTAAAAATTTAAATTTAAATAGTTTTCAGATCAAATTTCTTTAGCTTAATATAGTAACATAATACGATTTTTTTCTGTAAAAGAGATACCATCGTATTTTTTATCACGAGTCAAATTTCGTCTTACATCAACTGTTCTTGTTTTTTTGATAAAATGCACTTATTGAAAAAAACAAATGCAAACATCATGAAAAATCTATGTTTGATTTTCAGATCCTAACAGCATAAATCGAATTTATTCTTGATTATCTCAATTTTAAAACTACAAGAGAAATTACTTTTATTTATCTTTTATAGAAAAGAAAAGTGAGTAAACTATAAAGAAGTTTTAATTGATGTTTTCTATTTATTCAATATTAAAATAGACAGACTGTAGTCGAATAGACTTTTAAGGTTAATTATAGAAGTATTTTTCTTCTCCCCTTTGTTTTACGAACATGTAAAATATTCTTGATGATCTACTTCAATATTTTTATTTACGCTTGGATAATTTTACAGAATATTGATGTTAAATAAATATCGGGTGTCCCAGAAAGAATGGGCCTCTCAGTATTTTTAAGATTTCTTCTCTATTATCCCTGTAATTAAAGCTCTCTTTATTATCAAAAGATAGTGCTTGAAATTCTCTACAAAACNTGGAAAATTTCAATAGTTTTATCTGTAAAAGGGTTCGACTTTTTGAAGTAGTTTTTCATTAGTTTTTTTTGAAAAATTTCACCTAAAAATTTTTAAAATTATACAATATTGTAGAGCTCGACGAGCTCTATCAAACCATGTAAACATATCAAAGAAAAAAAATTTAGTCGATTTTTGAATTATTCGCACCTTATATATCATTAGAATATTCCACAAGATTATTATATATTCAATTCTATTTGAATGATATAATTTCAAACAAGAAAAAGATCATATATAAAATAATTATCATCAATAAAGGAAAAAAGATAGTAGGAGGTGTCTTAATATATATATATATGAGTAAATTACAACATTAGCATAGTACTTTGAGAAAAAAATGAACGAAAAAAAAAAAGAAACTTCTCGATTTGGAAGATGATAAGTAATGGGTTTTACTCTCTTATATAAGATGAGCCTTTATTTGCGTACCACGATATACAATGCCGATTCAAAGTTAGATCAATCTGAACTACATAAATCTAGTAGTGTATTTTATGCTTTATATTAATGATGTAACGTCATTCTCACAACATGACTTTTCCATAAAACGCAATTTAGAATAAATTTACAGCAGTGACTTTGATAGTAACTAAAATAAGAACTCAACTTTTATATAATACATTTCTTTAGATCTTAATTGCAAAGTATTGCACATGTTATAATCTTACATGACCAGTTTCTTATAAAATATCTCGCGTGACACATTAACATTATTTCTTTTTTCTCGTAAATTATGAGTTTTCTGACATTCATATTTTCAATGGTAGTTGATTATAATGAATTGATAATATGAATAAAGTTACATCTGCAAGTACAGTTCTAACGAAAGAAAAATGATAAATCTCACGTAATATTTAGCTTATTAATCATATTTTCAAATTTTATTTCATAATTTGGATTAACAAGAAATAATATTATCTTCTTATCTCCGTTACTACAGATTGGTCTTCCTCATTCACTGGCTTTCATTCTACATTATCTTCACGACAATCATTTTTCGATGGTTCTTTTAACCTCAGAACTTTGCGTGACAGAAAATCGAACAATAATTGTACATCTGTAATTTTGAAAAAATTATAGAAAATTTTTGATAAAAACGCCAATTAGTCTGACTGTTTATTCTAATTCTGCTAATTTCAGAAATTCAAACAAGAAAGAAAAAGAAATCAATTATACGACCTGTTTTAACAGTAGATGGCAGTAAAAATCGATCTTTTAATCCTTACTGTTTAGTACCTTAGGATTTATCTAAGACAACAAATCTCTGATTTTTTTTATTTCCTAGCGAGAACTTATACTAAGTAAATCCTAATCTAAAATATCATTAAGATTGATTAATAACAATCTGTCCATCATACAGAAATAGTATGTGTAGGTTGTCATTTATTAAACGTCAGTTTTCTTTCTTTTTTTTTTCTTTCTTTCCTTCATTTTTTTTCTTCTTTTTCTTCGATGCGTTCTTTTTGTATAAAAAAGAAAAGATGAGCGTATACGCCTATTTTTTTTTCTTTCTTTCATAGTTACCTTATCAAAGCTTTACTTCGTCGATTTTTTTCTGAGTCAAAAAAATATATATTTTCTTTTTTCCTTTCTCGTTTGAGTAAAAAAGCATGCGAATAGCTGCCTAATTCTATTGAGTAATAAATCAAATTTGAAGTATTATTTTGTTCTAGATTGGTTTTTGTTCTTTTTTTCTTTCTCGCTCTTTATTTTCCCCATCAAACAAGACGTCTAAGAAGACGAGAAAAAAAAGCTCGACGGAAGAAAGAGTAACATCAGTGAAGCTGAACACATCACGCATGCATATATGAAAAGCACTAACATGTTTTTCTATTGACTGCCTTGCTTTTATATACTTATATTCAAATGTTAATATTATTATTTTGATATAAAAAAAAAGAAGTTAAGTATGTCATCAAAATCGAATAATAAAGAAGAATCATCACAAACAACTTCAGTTTCACAACAGCTTGCTCGTCAATTAGAAGCAGCTGCCGAATGTAAGTATTCAAGTTTTCATAATTGTTAGTATTGTTTTTTTTTCCTTTTGCGTCAAACAATATTTTCAATATATAATTAAATTCTATTTATTAGTGAACAATATAAAATGCTTTTTCTTGACAATACCATCCAAAAACTAAGTCATGCTATTTGTGCTTGTAAGATTTTACTATTTGATAAACAAACATTGAAAAAAACTTTATGTTTTTTTTTTAACATAGATGAATCCTTGTTATAAAAAAAAAGTCAATTGGCTTGAATTTCGTATCCCCTTCTTATTTTTTTCAAGTACGAATTCAGATGCCTTTCAATTTTTTTTCTAGTAAAAACTTGAGAGCATGTCTTAAAGTAATAATACATCGATTTTGTAATTTAAAAAAAAAAAAACATTATATAATTATCTGTTTAATTAAGAAGAAGAAAAACACAACTGTCATAAAACATCTTTTTTTAAATTTTAATAAGCAAAGTTTTTCAAAGATTTATTTCGACATCTGTTTTTTCAGAAACAAAAGTTAAAAATCTATTCAATTTTAATGCATTCTTTTTAAATAACTCGTTAAATAATATTATTATTGTGTCATTATGTACTGATCAGCGGAACGAATCAGTTTTTGGTTTTTATTCCAGGACAATTTTGTTTATATCTATTTATTCATAAGATATCAAGATATTTATTATAAGTTATTGAAAATAATATAGAAATTGTTTATTTTCTAGCTGATGAAGAAGAAATTTCAGTTAATGCCTCAGCTTTAAGTCTTGGTATACGTGCTCAAAAAAAATTACTCAGGTAATAATCATCTATTATCTTATTCAAATATAAATATTTCCATTTAATTTTAGTAAATTATCTTCAAAATCTGTAGCTAAGATCTTTATCGATGAAACAAGTGGTCGCATATTAGATAATTTACATAAATTAGCACGTAATTATTCAGGTAAAAAAGATGCCGACAAATTACTTAAATCAATAATAAAAACAATTGTTAAAATGGGTATTTTATATAAAAATGATCTATTTACAGAAAATGAACTTAAATTAATTGATGAATTTCGTAATCGTTTTCATTCATTAGCAAAATCTATAATAACATTATATGAAGTAGATTTTAAATTTGATCGTTCAGTTTTAACACGTATGTGTCAAGAATGTCAAGAATTAACACATAAAATTATTTCAAAACATTTAACACAAAAATCTCATGCTCGAATTGATTATGTTTTTAACTATGTATCAAATATTGAGTTTCTTGAATATTCATTTAATCCAAATTCAACAGCAAATCGTGCAATTATTAAAGAAGCTATAGAAGACATGCATACTTTAATGGATACTGGCTTTCTTTAACCAAATATATAAAGAACAATATATTACAAAAAAAAACTCTATTATTCTTTGTATCAATAATACTTTCTTTTTTTTTTTTTTTTGCTTTCTTTTTATTTCAAATAAAAATTAAAACCTATCTGAAGAAGCTGACGAAGATGATAAACGTTTAAGAAGACTGGTTAATGCTAATAAATCACGAAAATCTAATTGACCATTATGATTTGTATCAACAATATCGAATACAGCACGTGCTAAATGTTTACTAACAAAACCAAGACCCATTTCTTTAAGAAGAATTTCGACATCTTCAACTGTTATTTTACCATCACCATTTTTATCCAATGATTTATACTAGAAAAAGAAAATATATATGTACAAAATTTTGATTAAGATGTATTATTATTATTTACCATTTGATATATTTGTTTAACATTGTTAACACCAATTTTTCCATTACTACGTTTATCAATTCCTTGTTGAGGATTATTTAAAAAATTACCAATTCGATTTGATTGAACTGAACGCATTTGAAAATTATCTACAGGATTATAATTATCGTTATTAGTCATGACTATTGATGGATCATTGAAGTCAATATTTTCTTGACGAACATCACCAACATAAGACTGAACATCATTAATACCGGCATTACGAAACATTTGTGCTAGTGTTCCATTTTGAGCGTCACTAGGGCCGAAATTTTTTATTTGTTCCATTAAGATTCACTTGATTCGTATACGATTTAAATCTAATAAATGTTCGAATATTTCACTGGGCTTAATATACTTTTAAATTACTCAAGAAAAGAAAACAGAGTAGGTGGCGATAACTAAGACATGTGAGATGACGCTATCATAATATTCACTTATAATGACGTCATTGAAAGAACATACAAAATTCAACCATGTTGTTAGTAATCCTTTCGTGTATGATGACTCAAACTTGTCAGCTAATAAAGATCAATCTAGAATAAGATATATTGAATTTAGATTTTAATTAAGTATCAGTCCAATCTTAATGATTAAATATATCTATATATAGTACTATCACTAAAATATATTCACAATGTATAAGTGTAATATCGGTTTCTGAAAATTTTTGTTGATTTTATCAATTTATTCATGTTTTAATAAATCGACAATCCGGTATATTATGAATGTCGAAAGTACAATATTGTCTTCCAGATGTGTAACTTTATACCTTATATGTTAAGTATTCATGTGTTTTACATACAATCTTGATATACGTTAGTACGAGTTTTTCATACTATTGGGATATTGTCAAAGACATATTTTAAAATAATCCTTTTATTACTACGTCAGTATTGTACATGTTGGGAAAATCTCGCGGCAATATGTCAAAAAGAAAAATTCAATGAATAGGTATTGCAGAATTAAAAGATAAGCCTTTCGATAGGAATTAATTTTCTTAAATTAACTTCAAGGTACGTGTTAGAGAAATGCTGGAAACACTATTATAAATGACGCACTATTTGAAAGAAATTGTCACAAGCATAAAATGTCGTTGCCACTTAGTAGTATTAGTTACTTATTATAGATCGACTTTTTAAACAATCATTGTTAAGAATATCTTTGAAATTTCAATGACTTATTAATGTACTTAAACAATATTTCTAAAATTTTTTTGCTAAAAATTTAGTAAGAGATGAAAGAATATGCACAGAAATTCAAAGAATTTCTGGAAGATTTATTTACATTGGTGCATTACTTCATAACGGAAGTATTCCAATTGTAAGCGATCATTTGAGTTCACATTGAATGGACAGGGAAGTTCGGATAAAACTAAAAGAATCATCAAAGGATTCATTCCAAGGATCTTTGGAGCCTACTTGTGATCGTTGTAGTAAGTTTTTGAGCTGAAAGTCTTGACTATTTTCTTTTTAGAAATTCAATATCTCGACAAAGAAATATTTGTTTTTGGCTGAAAATTTTGGAATATGCTAACGGTTATAACTCGACTCCCAATGTCCATAGGTACCGAACGTTTTATACTTTTTCTAGTGTTATCAAAACCTTCTTGTAAGTTCAACATGCGTTCAAACGGCGGGTCACAATTGGGCTACTCTTCTAGTCATAAAAAGTATGTAATAGGAGCTATTGTTCTAGTATTTCTCTATAGATTGAATATACTTCTGACACTGCGATCAAAGCCAGCTTTTATAGTTGAACAAATAATTATCGATATAATAATATGATTATGCCATTGAGTTTTGTGTATAATCTATAAATTTACTATTTCTTGGTTTTAATTAAACATATATCAAACTCAAATTGTTTGGATTTGGCATATGTCTAATGAAAATTCTATGTAATTGGAATGTATCTGAGCCAAGATCGATTTTTTGAAGGGAAGCAGCAGAGGGAGCTTAGGTGAAAAGTGTCTAGCAAACTATTGTTCAGCGCTTTTTCCGTTGCTAAGAAGCTCTGAAAAATAAGTTTGATGCGTGTTGTTCTTGTTTGCTATGAAAACATACCCGAATCATTCTCGTCCTCTTCTTCCTTCTCCTCCTCCTTGCAATGAGAAGATGAAAGAGTCGCTATATTTTTCTTCGAAAACCACCATGTGAGTTTCACAAAAGTATAAAATCATTTGCTGTAAGAAGAACTTCGATTTTTTAGACAAACACTCATAAAATAATAGCAAAATTATCATTGAATGATAAATCACATCTAATAATAATCCTCACTTTCTTCTAAACTATTGAATAACGAATTATATGAATTATGTTTAATTTAACTTGTAGTTAAATTTAAATAAAAATCATTCCATCTAAAAAATAAAAATTTTCCGATGTTAATAATTATATATTTGCTATTTGTTCATTATCAACATGTGTCATAAATTGTTATGGTGTAAATACTTGATCATAACTAAAACAATGTACACAACAATAATCAAGTTCATTAAACAATGTTGAAAATAATTGTTTCATTAAATCAATTGTTTGTATATGTCATACAACAAGTTTAGGTATTTCATTCATATTATAATGATCATGTGTCAGCAATATATTATGCTAAATTAATATTTCGTAAATAAATATTTGGTAATGTTGATTCATTAGGTGTATCTGATGGATTTCTTTATTTTGTTATTCCATGAATGAATGAGGTTTGAGGATAATGAGAAGGAATGAATAATTGGCAAAAAAATAAGTTTTCTTTTGTTAATGTTTGCAAAGGATGACATTTTAATAAAATGTAGAACTGTATACTATCGATAGATCATTCTTTCATTTGAAGAAATAATTTTCGATATATATGGTTTAGATAGAGAATATTCACTATGGTTGTTAATTGATGAGAACAACAAAGTAGACAACATGATATTGATACTGTTTATGTTACGGATGATAATCAATTAGATAATATACTTAGAGTATATCAAAAGTAGTGACAATAGCATTATACTATACATTATAGAAAACTCGAGGAAGTTTCTATAAGCATATATGCTGACAGTTCAAATGATGCTCTATAATTCTATAATATTTCATTGTTCTTCATTTGCTCTGTAGCTGTTCATATCCAATTTTGCTGCATAAAGGAAACTTTCGCTTTTGTATGTAAGTCCAAAGTATATTACATTTATGTTTGGCAGCCAAACTTCATCTATATCTGAAACAATTGAACAAAATTCATTTTCTTATTAATGATGATCTTAATATTGCAATCGACAAATTTCAAGTGCAAATTAATCTGAATCGTGGCGCTATCCAATGCAAATAATCTCCATTCATCGTAAACTTAAAAAGATGAGGACTAGTTGTATATTGTAATAGCTGATCTGGGAAACTATTTGTATCATTATTTTTCAATTGTTTTAAAATGCGAAGTCTGACCTTCGAAAAACTCGCTTGAATATATAGTAGTTCAGCTTTGATCGAAATTCTTATATTATCAAATCAACTGAAGAATGATGAGATATTGTAGAATTATACAACACTACTTCGACTATCAGTATATACAGTAGGTATGAAAAATGATTCAACTAGTAGTAGATAATTTTATCTTAGAATCATCTGGTTTTGGTCAGATTGCAGCCTATAGTCTTTAGTATACTAATAAAAACTTTCAGAACAATCAATTAATCTGTTTAGTTTTTATTGGTAATACAATTACAGTGTGCTGTTTTTTCATTCAACTTATTTTTGTAAACTATTGTGCAAATGTTTTAGGCTGAAATTTTCATTATAATACATGATTCAATGAAATAACTTGCGGTATACGTAATTCCCATAATATTTATCTAATATTATTATTTAGTATATCATTAGCAAGAGCAGTACAAATTCCAATAGATATTCTAACGGGTGTTGCAAAAGTTCCTGGAAAAATGTCAGACTCTGTTGTATTTGAACAGAAAGTGATAGAAAGTTAATTCTTTTTTTGTTAGATAGAGCATTGTTTCTACTTTAAAAAGGATATATATTTCGCAGACTTGTATTTGTACTCTAGTCGGGAAAGCCATTCGATTTCATAAAACTCCTAAAAAACGTGCTGTAACTTTCTTCAATTTTGCTTTCATCGAGAAAAATTTGATATCTTGCCTTAGATGCAACATTTTGAGCTGATTTTTACAGGTTATATACAACATGATATAAGCTTTCGTTACACATACAAATCATTGCCAAGTGGTTTACTTTTGGGAGGAAAAACGAATTTTCTCTTTTTTCGGAAATTTGCGTGCATCAACGGTTCAAAACTCTTATCGCTATAGATNGAATTGAAAGCATATGGAAAAGCTGGAACAGTTGCTGAAGAAGTAATAAGTTCAATTCGTACTGTACTATCATACAATGGACAAGAAAGAGAAATAGAACGGTCAGTGTTGCACTATTAAAATATTCTTTTTTCATTTCGATTGAAGAATCTGTTTTCTCAATATATACATGTAGATATGAACAATATCTTGATGATGCAAAAAAATGTGGCATTAGAAAAGATGTGACCAGTGGTATCACAACTGGCATAACATTTTTTCTTCTTTTCTGCACATTTGCATTAGGTATTCATTTTAACTTTGATCATTTCAATATGATGATATTTTTTGTTTTATATGACAGGATTTTGGTATGGAACAAAACTAATTTGGGCAGACAAATACAGTATTGGAAAAGTTTTCACTGTGAGTATAACGGAAATTCAAGGCTACTATGAACTAAAATTGTTCATTGTATATTACTTCATATAATATTTTCATTCGACGAATTGCTGCCAAGAAATCTAACATGCAATTTATTAATCATTCAAACTATTCTGATTTAATTAATTAGATCTTCATTCGAAAGTCATTTCTTATGCAATCACATATCGAATGAAAACGCTGGGATTCATATAAATATAAGCTTGAAGAAGAAACTCTTTTATTAACTATAAATCTGTTAGGATGCATCAGAAAATCATGTATAACTGAAAAGTTATAATATATTATGAGGGTTGTGAAGTCTGACCAAGTCTTCATAATCAAGATGTCACTTTTATATTGATTTGTGTCGATCATCTTGTTCAGATTGTTAGAAAAAAACAATAATAATGTTTTTCTCTTACACGAGTACTTTTTTTTTCCTTCCTGGACAGATTGTAACATAACGATCTAGTTGGTAAAGAATGTGACGTTGAACTTCAAACAATGAAAATATAGCTTTCGATAAATTTTCACTTACTCTAATAATAAAAAGCATCAGTTTTCATAGTATAACTTATTTGAGTTTTTTTTTTCATTCAAATCAAATTCACTGTATTTAGGTATTTATATGTATTAGCTATGCCTTTTTAAGTTTGGGACAAGCAAGTCCTTATTTTCAAGCATTATATGAAGCTCGAGTTGCTGCTTTTGGCATATGGAAAATCGTTGATGAAGTACATTTATTTTTCATGTCTCAGATATGCAAATTTATCTATATCATATACTTTTTTAATTAATCTCATAGCCATCAAAGATTAATAATGTGGATTCGGACAAAGGTCTTACAAAAGATGATCTTATTGGTGAAATACATTTTTCAAATGTTTACTTTTCTTATCCATCTCGACCTGATGCTCCTATTCTCAATAATTTATCGTTTAATATCAAATCTGGTCAAACTGTTGCTCTTGTTGGTTCATCTGGATCAGGAAAATCAACATGTATTCAATTATTACAAAGATTCTATGATTCACAATTAGGTTCAATTCTTATTGATGGAAAACAAATCAATGAATATAATCTAAAATGGTTAAGAAAACATATTGGTGTTGTTAATCAAGAACCAATTTTATTTCATACAACTATTCGTGAGAATATTTTATTAGGCTCTGATTCAGCTACAAATGAAGAAATCTATGAAGTAGCTAAAATGGCTAATGCACATGATTTCATTATGACACTTCCTAATGTAAAGGAAAAATAATGTTCTTCTTTTTCTTTTTCTTCCCTCTCATTTTCAATAATATTAATGTTCGTTTTTTTGTTGTTGTTGTAGAAGTATGAAACTCTTGTTGGTGAACGTGGAGCTGCACTTTCAGGTGGACAAAAACAAAGAATTGGTATTTGATAATATTCATTTTATCATTCACAACTTATTCCATTTATGTTTTCTGTTATAGCTATAGCTCGAGCACTTCTTCGAGATCCAAAAATTTTACTTCTTGATGAAGGTAAACTCTTTTTTGTTGTGTTCTATCAATAGTTTCACTATCAGTTCTATACTACTATAGCTACAAGTGCACTTGATTATGAAAGTGAAAAAATAGTTCAAAAAGCTTTAGATCAGGTTGCTCAAGGTATGTTATTGTTAGAAGAAACGAAAGTCAAATGATTTTATTTTTCTAAAAGGTCGAACAACATTAATAATTGCACATCGTTTATCAACAGTTCGTAATGCTGATAAAATCATTGTGATGCAACAAGGAGAAATAGTTGAAGAAGGAGATCATGATTCATTGATGAAAGCTCAAGGCATATATTTTGATCTTATTAAACAACAGAATTTATGTCAATTTGAAGAAGAAGAAGAAGAAGAAGAATTACGATTGGAACAAAAAGAAATAACTAAGTTGATGTCTGGTGATGAAACAAATAATGATTTAATTGAACAAGTACATCATAAAAAAACAATAGATAGCGCAACTCAATCTGTAATATCTGCTGTATATGGGATGAAAAATTCACTAGCAGGATACAAGTTGCATGAAAATGATGACGAAAAGAAGATTGCCATAAAGGTAATATAAATAAAGAACAGAATATTCGAGTATGAAAACTAGAAATGATTTGAATAGGAAAGAAAGAAAAATACTACAGTAGATATATTACAAATGAACAAACCAGAATGGATTTTTATTGCAATTGGATGTATAGCAGCTTCAATAAATGGAGCCAGGGAACCGGTATATTGTATTATTCAAACGAAATTGGCCTCAGTAAATGCTGGAGAAATATTCATATTAGAGATTTGTCTTTGTTTTTTTTTTGGCAATAGGTTTTTCAACAATGCGATAAAAGTGTTCAGAAACGAGAAATTTTTCTTTGTATCCTTCTTTATGTTGTCTTGGGAGTTATAAGCTTACTATTTCATTCAATTCAAGTATGTATTTTGATAACTTTTGTAAACGTTTGTGAAGGTTGCTTTTTTTAAGGGTTATATGTTTGCTCAATCAGGTGAAGCTCTTACTAAACGACTTCGATCAAAAGCTTTTCGAGCTATTCTTCGTCAAGAAATTGCCTATTTCGACCAAGAAAAACATAGTACCGGCGTATTATGTACACGTCTTGCAACTGAAGCATCAGCGGTACAAGCTGCAAGTGGTGTTCGCTTTGGTTTGATTCTTCAACATATTTTTGGAATGATAGTTGGAATTCTTCTTGGATTTTTGTACTCATGGCAGTTAACATTACTTGTGCTTGTTTTTCTTCCATTTATATTATTTGGAGGTATTCTACAAATTCGACTAACAGCTGAATTTACAAGGAAAGACAAACAAATTCTAGAGGATGGTGGAAAGGTTTGTGAATCCTTTGTTTGGTTTTCATCTATATACTACTAAAATTAGAGATATTGTGATCGATTAGTTTGTGAGTATTTTTCCTACAAGATAGCATTGCTAAGACTAGTGAAATTAATGAATAGAGAAGAACCTCTCTTATATGAATATGATTGAGACGTTTCTAAAGTAATTGCTACTAAAAGATGTTACAAATTTAATCATTCAATGTAAAAAGTTTTATATTATAAGCTTTTGTAATACAATAGGTATAGAGTAATCAGAAACTATTCATTTCATTGTTCATGTTTTTTTCATTTAATTTATTGAAAAGAAACATATTTAAGAAAAATACCTAATCAAACTTTGACTAGATTAATCTTAGTGATATATGTGTCAATCTAGCATCACTATCATTGTCATCATTATCTTATATATTGATGTCTCGAGCTGAATATTTGTACATATATATACGCAGAAAGATCGTTCCAACAGTCAAAAATAGCATCTTGAGTAATGTAAAATAACTAGTATAACGATTAATTTCTATCATAAATCACTACAATCAATGGTAGTTTTTCGTCGTTTTGCAGAATCGTATAAACAATGTTATGATGAGCTGTATTTGATTCCTATTTTGAGTTATACATACATCTCTCTTTTGCGATCGACAAACTGGAATTATATGCTTCCATTAGGCTTTCTAGATTATTAACTAGTGATTCGTATGATTATGAAACATTTTATTTTATAATTAACGGGTGTTGCAAAAGTTCCTGGAAAAATGTCAGACTCTGTTGTATTTGAACAGAAAGTGGTAGAAAGTTAATTCTTTTTTTGTTAGATAGAGCATTGTTTCTACTTTAAAAAGGATATATTTCGCAGACTTGTATTTGTACTCTAGCCGGGAAAGCCATTCGATTTCCTAAAACTCCTAAAAAACATGCTGTAACTTTCTTCAATTTTGCTTTCTTCGAGAAAAATTTGATATCTTGCCTTAGATGCAACATTTTGAGCTGATTTTTACAGGTTATATACAACATGATATAAGCTTTCGTCACACATACAAATCATTGCCAAGTGGTTTACTTTTGGGAGGAAAAACGAATTTTCTCTTTTTTCGGAATTTTGCGTGCATCAACGGTTCAAAACTTTTATCGCTATAGATATCCTTCTTCAGACGTAATTAAAACAAAATCCACTAGGACGGATACAGCTTTTCCAGGACTACAAGACTATGTACACATTTTTTAAATTAAACTGTTAATCTTAACTTAATTAGATGTCGGAAACTGTAAAACTTACTGTTACACAAAGTTTCGCAATTGATGCCAGCATTATTTTAACAAACTGGATCTCTGTAAAGAAAAATTCATTTCAGCTGAATTTTTTTTATCTAGGTGACCTTTAAACAACTACACAACCTAGAAGTCCTTTTAGCTCAGAAGGACATGTCTTTCTTGAGATATACAAATGGTTTGCTGTAAAAAAAAACGTTTACAGCCTGCTTTTTAGGAGTTTTAGGAAATCGAATGGCTTTCCCGGCTAGCGTACAAATACAAGTCTGCGAAATATATATCCTTTTGAAAGTAGAAACAATGCTCTATCTAACAAAAAAAGAATTAACTTTCTATCATTTTCTGTTCAAACACAACAGAGTCTGACATTTTTCCAGGAACTTTTGCAACACCCGTTATTTGATATCACCTAATTAATTATACAGTTTTGTTACATTATGAATCCTATGTAGATAGAGGATGAAATTTAGAACAACAAGCTATGTTAAGGTTTATTTTGAGATTGTAATAAGGTAAAGATCTTAAGCGATATAATCGATTTTGACTTCAAATATAAGAGTTTCGTACAGAAAAAGATTTCCTACAAATCTATTATCTTCTTTGATGCATGAATAAGACAGTACAAGAACGTCTATCTGCGTATTTCTAACTTGCCGTTCTCGAGATTTTTATTATAGCAATCGAATACGTACACTATCAACTACAGAAATGCTGTGCTCCGCATCGCATTAAAAATATCATAGAATAGTAGATACGTTCTCATTCCGATTTCATCATAATTGTGTTAAGCATCGAAAGTTTAATATTTACTATATTGGAATACTTACCTATGAAAGAAAGCAATTGACATGAAGGTTACTGGTACACTGATCGATAATGCACTTCAAACAAAAAAATTCATATGTCACAGACAGGAATCGAACCTGCATTGTCTAGGTCACAACTGAATATAATACTGCAGTGAGGTCATATTTTTAAAATAAAACATTTGATAGAAAAATATTTTCACTCTCTTAACAGTTCTATTATAGCGATGATTAATTTGTACTACTCAGTTAAACAAGATTTCATGTTGATATAACATGACTTGTTCTTTCTTTATAAGAAAATTGAATCAAATCCAAGAAACAAAGAACTGTAACAGTATTTGTGTATTTGTTTTTCTAATTTGAAAAAATGATTCTATGATATTTTTGTGTTATAAATTTCAATCTTACTATTGTTATAATTACACAAACTTGTGATCCTTCAAAATACTATATTTGTGTCTTCAAAATAATAATTCGCATCAAAACAAAAAAAATTCATATGCCACGGGCAGGAATCGAACCTGCGTTATCCGGACCACAACCGGATGTACTACCATTATACTACCGCGGCGAAAGTAGATCTAGAGAAAACAGCTTTTTCGTTTAATAGTATCGATTCATGTTATGTAGAAGTCGAGAATTTAATGATTATATATATTTCCCATCTAATTATATTTTCTTAGACGAAAAAAAACAAGTTAGTGAATCTGAAAAACTTTCCTAGAACGAATCAATTTATATATATTACTGGCTGCTGATTATCTCCTTAAAATTTCTCACTCATTATGATTTAAAATTGCTTTTTATCAGAAGCACTAATGAGAAAACATTTACAAGTGATCCCTTGCTTTTAAGCTCATATTCATTCTTGGTACAGTTTGAATCAAATTTTTTACTTATTATAAATTTCTTTCATACTCAACAGAATTCTCATGTAAATTATGACATATATTAGAGAACACAACACTTTATAGATGACACAAATAAAAATAACTGAGTAGAGTATATTCTAATAGATTAATCTGTATCAGTAAGATATTGCTTAACACAAAAATAGACTATCATGAGAGTCATTGAAGCTCGTATTGAAAGCGGTCTCATAACATGTTAACTTTCAAGATATGCTAAAACAAGTGATGGTGTTTGTTTTCTTTCTCACAGCTATATGAAACTAAACTAAACTTTCAAAATCGTTAGTTTTGCTTAAGTATTACTTGAGAACAACGGATTTCTATAATATTGATTTGATGATTTCGTGTTATTTTAGAAAAGAAAACAAACATTACTACAACATGCAATGGGGAAAATTTTCAAGGGCTCTTCTCTTTTGAATACTGAAAGCTGCAGATTGCTAAGTACTTTTATGTTTGAGCTATTTATGATAAAACAAGTTTCATTGACTTTTAAAATGAATAATAGAATCTGTGCATTAATTGACAGTTGAAGAAGAATCATTTTATTACTTTGCTACTATAAAACCAAATAAAATATAAATCTTGTTGAAATATTTCTTTGTGTTTTTTTTTCAAATTCAAATTACTGCTATGTTATTTGGTATGAAATATAAATAAAATTTATTAAAATAAATCGAGGTAGGAGTATAAGAATATATACATGAATATGAATTTGTATGAGCATCATAGAATTAAAAAAAGAAAGAAAGAAATTTTGTTTTATTTTTATCGAACAACACGTGTTCGGGATAAAACTGGCTTAAAATTTCGACTTCTTTCACGATGAATATAGGTTCGATTATTAATTAATTCCGGACATTGACAACTATGACGAATTTGTTGTATCATTGGAAAATAATTTTTTGTTAATTGTTCAATTCTTTCATATAGGTGTTCATTTACTGATGCAGTTGATTCTTGTGAAAGATTATCTAATGATGTTGTATTTGATGTTTTTAATTGTGTATCATTTGATGTTAATGTACGTTTTGATGATGTTCTTAAATGTAAAGCCTTGGTTGATGTTAATTGTGGATGATGAAAATTTTGCCACATATTATTCGATTTTGCTTTATTTATATTAAAATAATCAAATGATCCAAATGATTCACAAAGAAGTCTATCATCTGATGATGATCGAGATCGTTCACCATCATCTTTAGTATTTTTTTGTTTCAAATGTTTATTTATTGTTGGTAAAGTTTTCAATGCTCGATTAGAATAACCAGAATTTATCAATGGATTTGATGTAGTATCAGCCATTGTCGATATTGATTCAACTGTCATTGCATTTGAATCAACAAGTACATTAACAAATACAGGACCAATAAGATGTTTAAGACGAGTTGGAGATCGAAGTCTTGTTGTTTGATCTGTAGACTTTTTATTATTATCAATAAGTGGTTTTCGATGTGATACTGTACGTAAATTTTGTTGTGAAGGTATTGTATAAAAAATTTCATATGAATCCGTTTGAACAACGGGTAATGATAAATCAACTCGATGAACATGAAGACTTGTATTTTTTTCTTTTTTTGACATTTCGTCAATGAAAAAGAAAATTTTTTTTCAATGATCCAAATAAAATTTGATTGTACGCAAATATATTTTGATTTTGTCGCACAAGAGAGAAAAAGAAAAACAAATAAGATGAAATATAATCTCCTTTTCTTTTGTTCGTCTCTTATTTTTTTTTTTCATTATGAAACTTTTTTTTCTGATTAGTTACCTTGTCCAACTTTTATTTATAATTTAAATTCTCATATCAATAATCTATTAAAAGCAAGAAAAAAATCAATAAAAGAATCCCTAGTCATTTTTTTTCTCATATTATATACATCAAGGCTATCCGACTCATCAAGATCAATAGTTATTTTTATCCATGGATCATATGATTGTAGACACCAGTAACAAACTTCTCATATTCTTGTTGGATAGTAAAAGTAATCAAATCACATATCAAATTGAAAAAGAATTTACATATGATAATAATAAGTTTATCAAAAGTGACGTCTAATGTGTCATAGCCATAAGACATTGGATCATAATCAAATAATAATAAAACAATGTGTATTATATAAAATTATGTTACTATGTTTAATAATTTGCATATTGATGATGATAGTTAAGCTTGTTGTCAAGTTGTATAGAAGAATGAAGAAGCAAAAAAAAGGCAGACGAAGAAATAATCCAATGTTTTTAATATGGTAAAAAAGAAAAACTAATTATTTTGTAGAATACATTTACATTTACATGGATGAAATTTTTAATTGTTTTAATAAAGAGAAAAGAAATAAAATTCAATTTATTTTGAATAAGAAGTGATGAAAGAACAAAAAAAGAATCATATACTCTTATTTTACAAAAAAAAACAAAACATTTCTCATTCAAGGTTCCATACAAAAAAAAAGATTTAACTCATGAAATTAAGTTTGCTGTAATACTGCAATATGCCTTTTTCTATTTGGTATTACGAGTTTTTGTTTTAATCTTTAGAACTGTTATTTAAAAACAATGTCTAAGAAGAGAATCATAAATGTTGCGTTCTCTGACGTCAAATCATTTGATAAAATTGATTATTTTGTTAACAGAGAATTTCAGTATGACCTATGTACAGAAAAACAAAACAAAGAAAAGTTGAAGATTTCGATAATGCAATTCGTATTCAATTAAGTTGTTATTTCTGATAGAAAAACATACTATGATTTATAATACTAAGTTCAATTTTCTTCATAGACGATAGTTATTCAGAATGAAATAACAATCGTAATCTTTTGAACTCGATTATCTATTATTATTGAAACTTAAAGTAAAAGAAATCTCTTTTCTTCTTTACATTTTTCATACATATGTTTGCTATCACAATTAAACTTTCTTATCACACTGCATGTGTGACCCGAGACAGCAAGCATTGCAGGAGAACGGAGATGTAAAGATTTTTTTCCTAAGAGGACAGACAAATATATTTTCGATTTCACTGAGAAAAAAAAAATAAAAGTTTGTCTTGATTGAGAAATGTTACACTCTACGGGTCGAACCGTCCTTGTGTTGTCTTTCGGTCACACAACTCAATATCAGTAGCCTTTACATAAACAAATTGTCATTGTCTATTTTGATAGATACATAATGATAACAATTTCGGTTATACTACTGGTTGATTTTTATATTTATATACGCATATGTTCTAAAGTTAATATGTATATTCATCTTTCTGTTATTTTACACGAAACAGATCATTTATTCTTTATTCGCCTATATATTTAAGTTTCATAAGTAATATCAAAATTAAATCTTATTTTTAATAAAACAAAAAATGAAATTTAATGATGATTGATTCAATCAACACATCTTTTTGTTTTTCCAACAATAAATAAAACATTTGTTCTCAAGCGACAGATGATTATCATATTATCATTTATTAACATAACGATTCGATTGAACTTATTTAGATTTGATTTATCATAAATATTCTTGACCAAAATATCAACAGATTTGTTTTTTTTTCTTATAATAACTATGAATTTCATTGTCAAAACAAAAACAAATTTATTTATTTTTATAAAATTTGTGTTTTGTATTTTTTCTTTGGATCATTTGGGTTTCAAAATGTTGCAAGACAGTTATAAAGAAGCATCAACAAAACAAAAAAAATCATCCAACATACAAGAAAAATTCAATTCTCTCATATGCAAAGACGTAGAAATAAATAAAAATAACAAATAAATATTTAATTGATTTCATTTTCATGTACAACAGACAATGAAAATATGGCGTCATCAATATATTAATTCAGAAGACGACAAAAGGAATTCATTGATATTGAGCAATACTACTATTTGACCTTTTCATTTTTCAATATTTTTCTTTTTATATTAGTGTTGATTGAAGCTTGAAAAAAGTAATATCTACTGATGAATTAAAATAACATCATGACAGAATCTATATGTTATCTTTAACTGTAACATAAATATTTTTCAACAGAAACACTTCAAATCATGAAAATTCATTGTCTTTTTCCTTGGTTCGTTCGGATCGGCGTTTGAGTTCATTCAGTAGTGATTTTCATCTTTTCCGATCTTTCGCTGTATGTTGCATTTCGGTACTTGAAAGATTTGATGGAAAGTAATTCTGATGGTAAACTGAATTTAATTATTACCTTGCAAACAGTATACTGTCATAGAATAACTTCAAGTTATGCGTATTTCAATAAAGACGAGTGTTTATCAAATAGAACTATTTCATGAAATTCACATTTAAGGTAAAGTTTTTTGCAGAAATTCGTCTACCTCATTGAATTGTTATATTTTGAAAGATAAACATTAATTCAGTAGTTTTGAAAGCATCCAAAGACAACGAATTTTGTCGACTTTTTTAAAATCTATTGTCACCATGGATTCATGTGAGTATTTTTTTTATGAAACTCGATTAACAGTTGTCCTCTTACTATGATAGATAACTTTAGTTTGACGATCTATAAAATTATTTGAATTCTAATGTTCATAAATACATATTTTATATGAAATATGTTAAAGAGAATTTTAGAAAATAACAGATAGTATATGATTAAAGAATTATGTAAATATCCTGATTTGTTCAAGAAAACTTTAAAATTGAGTTTTATTTGAATATTTTCGAGTATTTGGTATTAGCCGACGAAAAAAAAATAATAAATTCAATTCATTAGTAATGCAGGAAGTCATAGAGTTTTTGTTTTTTTAAATATAATATTTCAAGCACATTCTTTAATTCGTGCTCATACAATAATCAAAATCAGAAAAAAAAAAGAAATCCAAAGAAGATTTTACGAAACAAAAAAGAGAGAAAAGGAGATACATAATTCATTAATATACATTAAACTATTGCTAAAAAATAATGATGATCTTTCTTCGATGACTAGACTCGATCAGATAAATAATAAGAACAAAAAAAAGAAAATCCTTAACAAGGAGCTATAACAAGACAATTACCACATAATTTTGTTTGACCAATACAATCATCATGACAATAAGCACCACATTTTTTACAGGCAATTAATGGTTTACATTCACATGTACATTTATAATTTGTTGTACGACTTGTTGCTAATGATGTTGAAAGTGCATCAAATAATTGTTGTTTTCGTATTGAATCATTACTATTTGATAATTGTTGAACTTGTTGTTGTGAAATAAATGTTGTTGTTGATGTTGTTGTTGGTACACGAACAGTTGTAGATATTGGTTGTTGTTGTTGTTGGACAAGATTTCCTATAGGTGTTGTTGATTCTGAAACTGTTGTTGAAGAATCACAACGCATAATTTGTTGTAAAAATACATGTTGTTGGGGTGTTAATGTGTTACTTGTTGCAGGAATGAATTTAGCAGATTGTTGTTGAGGCATATTTACTACAAAAGCATTTACACGAGCTTGTAATGCCTGTTGTTGTGTTGAAGAATCTGTACGTGTTACAAGTAATGTTGGACGTGATGAATCATAATTACCTAGAAAAAATAATAATTATGAATAAGAAATAGACTAAAGGTGATAATGATATTCTCGAAATGGATAGGAAACAAAAAAGAGGTGCTATTAGCGAAATTCTTATGAGATTAAAAAAAAGTGAAACACGATATAGTTGCTATCCGTCAGAAGATTGTTTTATTCTATCTGTTTTAGGAAGACATTTCTTCATCATTCTTTAATTAAATTCTTTAGAAATACAAAAATGAGGATGTGGGTGTGTGTGAATGTCGAGAAGCAATGTACCAACATTCACATCACCCACACTTACACGCCGTGATCGTGTATCAATAACAAGTGTCATATTCAGTAGGACATCAAATTTTTGCCTTCATACTTTAACATTGTGAAGATTTATTTTTCTCGTTATATGACGATATAGTTTTGTTTTCATTTCTTTGTCTTATCAATGATAATTGTGTTGTTCTTTAATGAAATTCTTGTCTTTCTTTGACTAATAATTAAATATTTTACAATCTATACAATGAAACTTTTAATTTTACCAGTATCCATTGCTTGTTGTTGCTGTTGTTGTTGATTAATTTTTGCTACTTGATTTCTTGCAACAGCTTTTAATGCAAGTGCTTGTGCATTTTTTGTTGTTTGAGAAATATTTGTGGTCATCCAACTAGTTGTTGTTTCATTAGTATTTTTTTTATTTGTTGCTGGTGCTATAGGAGAATAGGATGTTGTGGATTGTTGAGGTTTAACAGGTGATGCAAGTACAATATGCATTGGTTCAATAAATTCACCGTTAGTTTTAATTAATATTTGTTGTAATGATTCACCATTAAGTGTTGTTTCTTTTTTATTTTTCTTAATTGTTTTAGTTTTTACTATTCCACCAGGTTCTTTTTTTATTCTAGGTGATAAATTATCTCCTTTAGTTCCTTTTTTTTTCGGTGTACGACCAGATGAATTTGTTATAGTTGATGTAGGAATTGTTGAAAGCATCATTGTATTTATGCTAGGCAATGATAGAGCTGAATCTGATGAAAGAAATGCAAAAAGATCATCTGATGATGATGATGGTTCATATTTGACTGAAGATACTAAAAAGAAAAAAAAAGAACAATTGTAATTGATCGAATTCAACAAAATAAATATCGAATTAAATGAGATTTATCGATTTTTTGTTTCTATAGTAAATTTTTCATTAACAAAAAAAAAGGCAAAATTTTTTTCGTTCTACTTATTGTTTTCCTATTGATTATTAATAAACAAGCTTTTGGGTTTAGAATATATGTATGGGTAAAAAGTTAATTATCAATTCATAGTTAATCAACCATAAAACAAATCTATAATCTAATGTTTTGATAATTAAAACTAGAATACCATTCTCATTAGTTTATATATTAATAGAAAGAGTTTATTAGGTACGTCGGAAGATTATATGACATGTGAATAGAGGACGATGTAAACTTTCTATAGACTCTGAATTCCATCAGAGTTAATATTAATTATAGAAATTCTGAAAACGATTTTTTTTTCTTCTCATGTCACATAACTTAGTGAAAATAATCCCAAACTTCAGTTGAATGTTGTAGATTGTTTTATGGTATTAGTTTAATACAATTGTCTTCTTTTCTTATTGAATTTAGAATCTCTTCGCGTGACAAGATCGTGGATGCGCAAAGATATTCTAAAATTTAATCAATTTTAAATTTTCTGCTTAATAACTAACATATCTATTTATTCGTTTACAATGCTCTCAAATCAGATATAATTCGTGCTAGTACACTAATCTTAAATTATATAATATCTCTGAATATATAAGATGTCTTCAATTTACAGGAAGAAAAATTTTCGAAATGCAATAAATGCATATGATAATAATCGATTTTCTACTATTAGACATTAAATTCCGTCAAATGAAGCTTCGAGCGGGTACCCTCAATTTTCAATTTCCTCCAATATATTCATCGATTATTTGTATACCTCCATTTGCGTGAGTAGTAGTACCGAATTCAACTTAGAGCATTGATACATGTCTCCTGTCACCTGTTCAGACTTTTTTTTTCCATCACTTGATCTTATTAATTTCTGAATGATTGATTTATTTATTTTATGCTTTATTTAAAAAGAAAAAGATTAATTACTCTTCATTTCCTTCCTTCCGTTCTCTATAATTCTTCTTCTTTTTTTTTTCTCTTTACTATACTTGTTAGATTTACATTCTATCATGTTAATTATACCTGTATTATTTGAATTTGCATTTATTTGTAATTGTTGTTTAATATTAGCTGTAATATTTTCTACAATCATTGTTGTTTGTTGTTCTGGTTGATGTGCTTCACCAACGGATTTTAATTCTTGTAAAATACTATTAAAATCAAGTGTAAGTTGACTATTTGAGTTTATTTTTGATTGATCTTGTTCGGTTTGAATATTTCTTTGATGATTATTTGTTGTTGATTCACTGATATTATCAATCATTGATGCAGTAAATGGATCGAATGTTTCAGAAAAATCGTCGAATAAAAATTGTGTTACTGAATTATTGTTCTGGCTGTTATTATTATTATTATTATTATTAGTCGTATTCTATATAGAGAGACAGAAAGAAAAAAAGATAAAGACGTTATATTGAAATCAATATAGTTTGTCTTTTTTTTCCTCTTCAATGTATTTAAGAAAAGAGAGAGAGAGAGAGAGAACAAGCAAATATATATATGATCGATCATCAATTTTTTTTTTGTTTTGTTTTTCTCGTTATATTTTATGAGTTCATTCGAATCACATTCAGTTCTATTCTATTTTTTTTCTGTTCTTCTTTTTGTGTTTCTCGTCCCATCTTCCTTTCTCAATGTCAGCAGAACACATACCATAGTTCGTCGTCGTCTTTTTGTTGCAACGATTAAACACAGTTTAACATTTCTCTATGGTCTACATATATATATGTGTATATATACTCTTAGCTGTTAGATCGTCGATGTCGACGAAATATGATTTGACAAGAAAAAGGGAGGAGAGAACACAAACATACTGCTCATGATTAAGTTCAGTGTTCAATTTTTTTTTTCTTCTGATTCTTTGACTGACTAGTACTGGCACTTGAAGAAGAAGAAAAAAAGAGTGTCAATGACGATAGCAAAATAGATGCGAATGAATATATTATTTGAACTAGTAGTGACTGGAACAATAACACGAGAATTACGATGCCGACGACGATGTGTCTTGAAATTGGAGACAAAAGAAGAAATGCGTATATATTTTCTTCTTCCTGAGCACTAGAGCTGGTGCTGCCTATCGGTGCATCATGTAGCATTCATTCTTTTCTTTTTTTTTTTTTTTCTTCTCTTAAAAAAAAGCGTATTTGTGAGTGATTTCTTTTCTGTCTCCTCTCTCGAACACACACATACACACTATGATTATTATCCTCATCATCGATGTGTTTTGACTTGTTGCTTTTGCGTGTATAAAATATAGAACTGCTTCGACTAAAAATGATGGTAATGGAACGATGAAGAGTAAAAAAGAAAGAAGAAAGAACGAATAACATAACCGATCAGACGTTTTGCCGTGTTGCTAGTAAAGCAAAGCAAAAAGAAACCGACAACGATGAAGAAATGCGAGTAAGTAAGCGTCAAAATGAAACAAATTTTGCTGGATGGTTTGTCGATAGAGTGAAAAAAAAAGAAGAAATAGAAGAACAAAAGAGAAAGCATTTATATTGCATGGTGCAGCATTTAAGACAACAAAAAACGAGTTTGCATGTAGACTTGTCGATAAGAAGCAAAAAAATATATCACATCACATACATATATTTCGAAAGAGAAAAGAAGCAGAAAGAAATCATCTTGTTAAGACATACCAAAAGAAGAGAATCATTTGACAATTGATTGTTGAACAAAGATGAAGGTAGGATTGTATCAATTTGTTCTATTGGTGAATTATGAGTTGTAGATGAAGATCTAATAGAAAGAAAAATATTTGAGATGTTTACTTTATCTAATTTTGACTATATATATATATATAAAGAAAAACATAGTTATAGCATGTCTAGTTTCTCATCTTATTTATGAAGATTTACTTTGTATGCTTTCAAATCAGTTCCTTATTAAGAAGGATTAAATATCCTTATTAAGATTTCAATTATTATATTGTCTCATCTAATAGTTAATATTAGATTTCCTTTTATTGAAAAATTCTTCATAAAAAGTTTCTATAATATCAGGTAACCATTCTGTTAAGACAGACTTTAATAATAATAAAGCAAATTTTCTATGTCACGGAAAATTTTATCAGAACTCAATAGAGATCTTTTATTGGAGAACATAAGTAGTAAAACAAAACATATATTAAAAGTGAACGTGTTACTTTAGGCTAGTCTGTTTCTTTTAATTAATATTATTTTATGTATTACCAATAAAGGTAATTAAGATAGATTGTAAATCATAATAGATACTGTACGAAATCAAAAAAATCAATGTTCCGAACGGATGAGAGAACTTACTACAATTGTAATCCATCGTTTAAACTCATATTGAACACATAAGTAGATGTCAGTAATACTAGAAGATTCCTAAAAGGATTCGTGCTCATAAGCCTCTAGAGTCGAGTTATAACCTATTAAAAAATGGAAATTCAGTCTATAGCAAGAGCATAAGCAGGAATTTTCCTAGGGAGGTGCACACCAGCAGAAAAATAACATTTTATTTCGTGAAAAGTTTTGTTTTTGAACAAGAAGGCGGATGCACGGACACGCCTCTGGTCTATAAATAGATCTAATGAGTTTTAGAGTATTCTGAAAATTTCAGCTGAAAACAATCGTCATTTTTCGCGATATTAAATTTCCAACAAATAGTCATTTGCCATGAAAATCAAGTTTACTTAGAAATTCAATATCTCGATAAAGAAACATTCTTTTCGGCTGAAACTTTGAGTTACACTTCGGATAATTTCTTTGTAAATGAATACATCAAATTTATCCTGGAGATTTTTTTCGAAATCTTTTTAAAAACTATATTAAAGATCGTAAAAACAACTTTGAAAAAAATCTTTAATCAATAAATATTAATACGATAATCTGAATGTAGGCCTTTTTCTTTTTTTTACATTTATTCGAATGCAGTCATTCGCAGACAGATTCAACTTAGGATATTATATACAAAACATGAAAAAGTAACAAACCTAACTTGTCCTCTATTAAACATATGTGGGGATATTTATCAACACTTATCGCAAAACTTTCTTCGCTGACGAATCAATAGCCATTCAATATCTATTAATGTATAATATTCATGTACCAGTAATAATACTCTATCATGCACTACAGTTTTTCAGACTAGGCTCGTCAAGTTATAGACAAACAACTGTATGCTTCGAGATATGCACAATATGATGTTGAATCGATATTAGCGAATATATTATTCATACGAAATAGACATTAATCATATGTAATTAATCATGTAAAAATAGCATATGTTGTACATTTAAAATGTCAACCGTATTTTTCTATTGGTTGAATTGCTATTCGATCATTAACAATCATTTAGTTTTTAATAGCTATACTATTCACATTTAGAATCATCATTTATATATGATCATTTATCTTTCAAAACAATGATTCTAATTAAAATTTTTATTCATTGATAAAGAATTACTCGATAGAGATTATTATCATACTCCTATAAATAATAAATACGATTTGAAATTTAAAAACAACAAAAATTTATGATTGAGTATTGTTCGAATTTTCTGTCAGTGCATATCACAATTGGAATCTATTGATAGAGAAACTTTTTGAATGATTATTCATTTTAATGTCATTTTCAGAAAACTCAATATGATCGTTTTGCTTGTGAATACTACATATAAAAATTCTAAAAAAAAATTTCGATTTCAATTGAAATTTAGCTAAGCTATCGAATTTCTCTTTTAGAGGCGCCAGATTTTCCAAAAAACTTGTATTTTGATCTGAAACTTCACGCATAGAGAGAACTCAACTAGACTAACTTCTACAAAATCAATTCACAAGTTTTGAAAGACTTCCAAAAAAAAAAACATCTTGCTTTCATGGAAGAGTCTCTGAAACAGAAGTCTTTTTATAATATGTTATATATAGTATGTATAAGCAAAATATTATTGAAATCGGAAGAAGACATCTGAGGTTTTCTCATTAGAGTAAAAATATCGAATTTCTTCAGATTAAGAAAACTTACATTATTCGTTCACTAGATTGATTTCGGGTAAATATTTCTGATTTAATAATATTAATCATGGAATTAGAAGATGGATTATCTAAAAGAAAATATTTAGAACATAGATTTTATTCTTTTCTATGATATAACATACTTGTTATTATTGATGAATTTGAAGCTGCTGCAGCAGATGCTAAATTGTAAATTAAAAACAAAAACATATTTCATAAACAATTCTAAAACAAAATGACAAGCAAACCTTTTCGTTTTAATGCAAGTTGTTCTCTTATTTGTGCTAATGTTCGTGTTTGTTGTTGTATTATAGCTGGTGGTGGTTTAATAGATATTTCATTATGATTATCTTCATTTATTTGCATTTCATAGGTTGGTGATACAATTTTTTTCATTGTTTGATTAATTTCATTAAATTTTTGTTGTAAACGATTACCTTTTGATATTTGCCAATCATCATCTGTATCATCAAATTGATCATCAATTGGAACCGATGGTGGAGGAGTTGGTTTAGAATAATTATAATTTGTTTTATCTCCTGTACTTGTACCTTTAACTACCTTCATTATAAAATCATTTAATTAAAATTGAAATCATTAATTTTTTTATTTTTTATTTTAGAATTCTTCTTCCTTTTTCTAAGACAATACGAATAAATAATATCATGGGTTTTCATTTTAGGACCAATCAAATAAGAGAAATATCTCTATTTGATATATTTATGCACTTTTGCTATAGAGGGCTTCAAATTGAATGAGTAATGGGAATGGAGCATTTGCTGATGAACAAAAAACTAGTTGTATTGTCTTTGAAGTTAAAATAAAAACTTTTTTTTCTTATTTTGAGATCAATCGAAACTTTGATTTCATGGTTGATATATATGAAGATTATTAATGAAAATATTAATCAAATGATAAACAACTTACATATTATTGAATGATCATTTTTCAAACAATAGATACTAATAACATATCAAATACAAAAATCGAAAATATTTTATGATAAATTTAACATAAATTTCTTGTCTGATCAATGATTTACAGAAGAATTCCATATGAATACAACTTGTTTTTGAAATTATATGAATTTTTGTTGGGTTAAAGATAAACAATTCAATATATTTATTCATTTGTAGTATTGACATCCACAGGAAAAAAAATGTTTTTTTTTTAACAAAGAACAAAGATGAAATAGAGAAAGAAGTTGAATCAACAAATTACTTAGAATTCTGCAAGTGTTTTATATTTATTGTTTTTTTTGTTTCTACAAGATATACTAAAAGTATGTGTGTTGGTGTCGGTAAAGAGAAGACTCACGCTCTGAACATTTCTATAATTATCTATATTGTGCTTCATTAATTTCAAACATTAGAACTATCATGAGAATGTATATGCATCAATAATTTTATTTTCGACATTAGTTGAAGGAATCGTTTGTTTGATATGACAATACACTTTGATCCCCTTTCTTTATCAGGAAGTGAATCAATTCGTGGCAGAATTCATCATCATATATATATATAATACAACATTTCTATTTTTTATGGTAGTTATTCTCAAGTATCAACAATGTATTAAGACTGAATCAAACTGTCATTCATTGGTATGTCTATACATTAGTCAAAATGTAGAACGATTACGATTTTTATACATTGTCTAATGAATGTAGGATAAGTATTAGGGGGTGTCGCATAGTGATGGTCCCATTGAAGAGATGTGCAACATCCATAATCGTGGAAGATTTTTCCTTTTTCCAGCAAAGCTAAGATGCTTCTTTGTGTGATTATGAGTGTAGGTGTGTGGCGGATGTTCACAGCGAGGATGAGTGTGGACGATGGTGTTGCTTTTGTTGTGTGGTAAGATGTATATATGAGTAGGAATAGATTTTAGTATGCACAGTTAGCGTGACTAGAAGAAGAAAAGGCTCATTGCTAGTTCTACATCTACATTCATACCCTAAAAATACTGATGCATGCAGAATGAAATCGAAAAACAAGTCACACAATGTTTTATTTTGAGAGAATAGCCCGATAGTAGATTTTGGCAAGCGTACATATGATATGTACTCTACTGAACATTTTCACAAGGGTAGGAAACTGTCCACCCGTCTCGTTCAATGCTACCTTGTATATTTTTTTTTCTAGTTAAACATGACTGATATGAGCTATATAGAGAGCAAAGGAAATATCATGTATTACGTAGCAACAGCTATAACCAGCATGTGTCGATGTTTCTCGATAACTTTCATTGATTGGGGTTTCCGCAGTGGTGGCTACGCAAGTACGGAACCTTGCTCGAATTACAGTAAAACGATGTTACACAGAACTATTGATGATGTAGAGGAAACCAACCAAGAAGGAGTTCATTAGATTGATGTTAGGTTTTGTAAGTTGATTCGATTGATTTCAAAGTGAGTACTTCAAAAACAAAATCTTTAAACATGCATGTAATTGGTTGTGCACCTTTTCTTATTTTGGTCAGGAAAACACTCTTTATCCATACTAACAAGGATAACCTACTCTCACATCCACATCGTGCTATATAGGACCCTTTACAACCTAGAACGACATGTGAACAGACCGTGTTCACTCATAATTATACGAACTCTAATACGGATGCATATGAGCCGTAATCTCATTATGATACAGTCATATTACTGACTGCAGAATTACTGGTAGAATGCGATTCATTTATGCATCGTAAATTAACTGTAAATGGATTGCATCGTTCAATCTGGGTAACCATCAGTATGGATTAATTCAGTTGACATCGAATAAAAATATCCCTTTAAAAACAAACTCAAAAGAAAATCTACAATACAGTTCTTCAATTGAAATGTTGGTTCTTGACACAGTAATAGACATGCTCATCTCTAATTTTATTACTTTATACATCGTCATTAATATAGTGTATTCGACTTATAGAACAATAATTTCGGAATCGAATCTGTATTATGATTGTAATTCGAAACCTCACTATCCATCTAATTTGTACTCGTGATCTCTTTTGTCACTATAATGATTACACGTGCGCATTACGAGAGAAAATCGATCTGTATTCAGAAAATATTTCATTCCTTTCTGAGAAATGTCCTAGAAAAATCCATAATTTTTCTATCGAAAAAAGCTTCATGTCGTTTTCGAATACATCGTACAATTGAACAGTTCGAGAAGGAAACATGTTGAAACACAATTTCTCATTAGATCTTGTTAACAGCAAATTTTACTTTATTGATGTCAAATTTTTCTGATGCTCCTTTGTCTTAATTAATAACATAAAGAAGTTCATCTCGGATTGAATATTCCAATGAGATTTTATTCAGGAGTATTTACTGACTAATGCTCCTTGTCGATAAACAAGTAAAAATTCTCTTGACATTATCTAATTAAAGTGTTCGATGAATGCTGAAAACTGAATTGTCGAACATTTTCTCATCGCAGAATAAATGGATATGTGTTCAAAGCCCATTTGAAAAATATTTTTAGGATTCGACGAATAGTTTATTGTACGGGTACATATTCAATTAAGTAGTCAATTTTTAAGTTGTAATAGTTTTCTTTCAATTTAACCGAAGTTTTCACCTTTTGATTAAATTCTCTGGTTCGATTTTCTGGATTTGCCGTTGCATCACTCGTCGAAAAGTAAACGATTCATCTATCCTAAAATACGACATATGCAATTGGGTAAAGCATACAACGCTATTTTGAATAATACAAGACGTTTGTCTTGATGATAAAAAACGAATATGATTTATTGTCAAAATGTAATAAGTGACATTCATTATGTAACACATGATATTTTCTTCTTCTCAACGTACTTGACAGATTATGTAAAGAATAATTATATGACTACTTATACGAATTCTTTTGTAAATACAAAGAAATAAAAATTAGACTCGGCTGCGATCGGTTCTTTTTTTTTGTTCAAAGAGTATGTGAAAAGAAAGTAATGAATGATGTTAAAATGAATTTAACATACGCATATTTCTTATCTAATCAAAAATCAATCATATTGACAAATTTTTTTTTTCTTTTACTAGGTTGATAACATATCGTTTTATTGGATTCATTGAAGCGTGACACTCATTGACTGTCACATACTATCAAAATTAAAAAAAAAGCGAAGCATGGCAACAAGTGATAGTGAAATATGTGAAGGCTTGCTAAACATAGATTTATGGGATCGATTAGATCTGCATGTTGGATCTTATGTAAAATCTTCATTAAATTTACGTTATATTAGTTCAAAAACTTCTCCTATTGGACGAGCACTACGTCAAGCTATTGTTGATTTACTTGATAATATAACAAATAAATTTGATGGATATACAGAAAATGATGCAACTGTTGTCGGTGCAGAAAATCGTTTATATCATTCACGTCAATATACATTAAATATCCAAGAAGATAATGGTGAATTTTCTGAATTATATGGTAATGATGATAGAATAAATATTGAAGTAAGTTCATTAGCTCCCACTATTTTTTATCAATTACGTGAAGATATTGGTATATCAAATGAAAATTTTCGTCAATCATTTTCGGAATATAATTTAAAAGATTTTACAAATCCAGGTAAAAGTGGTTCATTAATGTATAAAACATTTGATGATTTATTTATTTTAAAAACTTTACGTGAATATGAAGCACGTTTATTAATTCAAATTTTAACTGGTTATCATTTACAATTTAGACAACGTTCAACAATATTTAATCGTTATGTTGGATTATATTCAATGCGTTTACAAACATCATTATCAAGTATTACGATTTATGTTGCTATTATGGTTAATGCATTTACACCATCCTTAAAACTTAATGAAATATTTGATTTAAAAGGTTCAAAAATAAAACGAAAAATAACTGGTTATTTATCTACAGAAAAATTCTATAAATTAAAAGATATGGATTTTATGGATTTATATCCAGATGGTATACTTATACCAACAAATATTTATCATAAATTAAAGATTATTGTTGCTAAGGATGCTCAAGCTTTGAGAAAATTGAATATAACAGATTTTTCATTAATACTTGGGATCAGACATTTAGATATGTCTGAATCACAAATGCTGGGTCGTCAACATTTAACAGGAATCACAGCTCTTTTTCATGCAACTAGTAGTCTTGTAGCAGATCAAATAGAAAGCCCTTCTGTCGATGCTTCACCATCAGAGGTCCCAGGTGATATAATATCTTTAGTAAATTCATACTTGAGACCATTAGAGATGGTCAACGAAAAAATCGATATGAACTTATATTATAATAATGATTCAATTGCTCATCAAACTTTACCTATTCCAGGTGTCATAAATAAGAGTAATAAACGTGTTTATATATATTTAGCTTTGGTTGACATGCTTCAAACATTTGATAATTTTAAACATATTGATCAAACATTTCGAAAACTTACTAATTATGATAGACATCTTGAATATTCTGTGATCGAACCGGATGAATATGAACAACGTTTTAATCAATTTTTATTTGAATATGTTTTTATTGATGCTGCTAATGATTTTCCATGGGCTATAAATGATGTTAGCAAAACTGTTGCGGATATTAATCATGGTACCACTGAAAATAAGAAAATTAAAGAACGAAAAAATCATACTCGTCAACATCCTCATTCAATTGAACAGACAGAGTCGAGTCCTGTTCTTGAATTGCATTTCTAAATTTTTTCTCTATATAACAGTACAATACTAAATATTTTTCTGACAAGTTCTTTTATTCTTTCAATAATCTTTTATGAATATATTTAAAATATATATTCAGATGAATAAATTCAACCATACTTGTGACCAATGTTAATGTAAGCATTTAAATTTATAGTAATACATCAATCAAAAAAATATTCATGTATCATTATACTATAAAGAGAGTATAGCATAGATAACAATTGTAAACAAAAGTAAAAAAGAAATCATAAGACACATAGACTCATAGATAGACCATATATATAATAGGTTGAGTGTCAGAGACTGAATTAAATCGAGTTTTGCTAAGTCGTTTTCAGTTTCTATTACAAAATGATGTACCCTCGCCAATTAGACGAGCGTACTAGTGATGACATCAAGGAAGACTGAGCCTTCTCCCTTTTCTAAGCTGCAGAGGATTTTGGTCTGTTTTCCATTGATTGTTCCCTGCAACTATACCAAAAATTTCTCTTACTTCTTGCAGTTAAATCACAATCTCTAGAAATGCCTTTTAACATATGTGGCACTATGGAGTCGTGTTTTCTTTCTTCTACCAAAAAGCCGTATAATGATGAATCCTAAGTAGAATTGAACATTATTATTATTTTTTACATCAAAATTTAATAATTGAAAGAAAATCTACGACAAAAGTGGTGGTTTGATAACACATGCATTATCGCAATCACATCTAGTTGACACAGTAATTATTTATTATATAAACTACGAGAAAAATTTAATTCAAATGTATTTAAAAAATTAAATTCTGATCGTACTGTTGCTAACGAGTCTAAAAAGTGTGTGGGTATGGGTGGATTTGGGTTTGAATGAATTGAGAACCCACACCCACACCCCACATTAAAATGTCAGGAAACTGGTTAATGAGTCCATCAAGCTGTGAGCTGGTGGATGCGAGTGCAAACGTATCTAATGTCGATGAGTTTGTGGATGTGGGTATGAATTGTTCAGTGGGTAGGTTTGGTTTTCCTTCTCGTCCAACCGCACTCGTCTACATTCACAGTCCACACACCTACTCTTACATCTGACATCATACGCAAATAAATAGTAGCTTTTTGTACACCATTTGAAATGAAACTCCTTAAGGTGGGAGCCCCCCCCTCCCTCAGGAATCGCTTTTCGTTATTCGTGGACCGATTTGGCTGAAATTTTCAGGCAATATGTGTGTTGCGTTAACTAAATTTCTTGCAAATTTTTGACTCATAAAATTCTTGTTTTAATGAGTTATTGACAAATTAGCCCTGAAAATGGTAGTTCTCGTAAGGTACCGATTTCTCGGACTGTCGAAGAGGTAGAGCGCTACCTTTTGTTTTGAATAAAAGAGAAGACCTGAATCTAGAAATGTATATAGCATTTTTTTTCGAAATTCGATTTTATTCGGATTTCCGAGACATTTTCCTGCAATAACTTGAAATTTAGCGCTTTTTGACATCAGTGTTATCCAGTTGTCTCGGCAAAGAAATCGAGTTTCGAAAAAAACGCTATATACATTTCTAGACATAGGTTTGTCCTTTTATTTAAAAAAAA